TGAAAAGATTATCCCATTTTGTTGCAACTGTCGAGGCAGCCACAATGCTGGTTCCTCTCTATGCCCCATGAAGCCTCATCTGAAAGAGACTAGAACGGGTCCTACAAGCAGGATAGATGTATCCTCGCAGCAAGGAAAAATTGTGCAAGAGGAACATGGAGGAAACAGTTGGAAGCCAACGGCAGCCCCTATGATCAATGTGTGGGAAAAAGGGACGGAGAAAGTAAAGGCGAGCTTAGGGAAAGTACATCATGCAGTGGAAAAACTGAAACCTTGTGACGACAAGGTTCAGGACAATATGGTCACCTCTGAGGTTGGTAATCAAATTTTGGAGTATCTAAAAAAACTAGATAAGAGGATTGAGGCATTGGAAAAATTGGCTATGGAAGGTGGACGGGGTAAAGATGGTGGTGAAACAGGACGTGTAATTGAAAGTAAAACGAGACGTGAAATGGAAAGTGAAACGTGCGTAGAAGAAAGTAATGATGTGCATGAGGTAACGATGATAGAGGATAGTCAGGAGAATACACTTTCTAGTAGTGTTAGCGGTGTTCAACCTCCTGTTGTGACAAATGGTGAAAGAACGGTTAAAGTAAAACGGGTTACAGAAATAACAAAGAAAATAGATATGAAAAATATTACCTTCGATGTTAGTAGTAGTTGTGAAGGTGAGGAGAAAGAAAAAATGTTACGGTGTTGGAAGGAAGTTTCTAAGGTACTCTTGTATCTCATGGAATGTGACGGACAGGGCAAAGGTAGTTTTATTATTAATCATGGATGAAAGTAAATTGAGAATATTATCTTGGAACATTAATGGATTAAAAACTAGAGCAGTGGATGTACACTATTATACTCTTAGAGAGGATATTGACATAGTAGCACTCCAGGAAACTGGGGATAGGGATGGTAGCATACTGAGGCTAAATGGCTATAGAGGCTCTCACTTATATGCTGATGGAGGAACTAGGGGGGTCTCATGTTATGTCAAAAGTACCATACCTGCCGAGATAACTGGAATTCCTCAGAGATATAGAGGTATTGAAAGTATTAGCTTGCGGATACAATTAAAGGACCGAGAGTTAAATTTCATTAATCTATACATCTCTGATAGCTCCCTTGATTTACGATACTTGCCAGATTCCTTCTTTTCTGAAGATACACTTGTGGTAGGGGATTTTAATGCCAGACATCCAGCTTTAGGATCAAGGGGTAAAGCAAATAGGAATGGTTGCAGATGGTACCAGTTTTTGCAGGAACATGAAGATGTTCAACTGCTGGGCGAGCCCTCTCCTACTCATTTGAGGGGAGGGAGATTAGATTATGCTTGTTTAATAAATGCTGAGGGCATAGAGGGGAATTGTCTTACTGTGGATGAAATGCTAAGTGATCATTTTGCATTACAAATACAGCTTAAACTAGATAAAAAGCATGCCTGCCTTCAGAGGAAAAGGTTAAAGTTTAATGAGGGAGAATTAAGGGGTCTTGTCGGCCATATTAAGTCTTGGTATGATACTTATAAGCCGGTTTCGGCAGAAGCATTTTATGAAGATTTAATTAAGGAGGTAGATGTATTTAATGCAACATTGAACCGGAAACCATCTAGTATAAAAAGGCATCCCCCCAGAAAAGAAAATTATACACATGACAAGATGCTTAAGGGGTGGACATTAACAATGAGGAGAGCTCACAGGGATTGGAATAGGAATGGTAGGACTGAGGAAGGGAAGAATGCTTTACTGGCAGTTGCTAGGCTGTGTGGGGAGAAGAGAAAGGAAATTAGGAGCAAGTATTGGCAGGAATTTGCAGAGAAAGTTGGGAGTAACAGAAACTTGAAGGAAATCTGGCAAGACGTAAATAAAATAAGGGGTAAAAAGCACAATTTTGTTGCACATCCAGACCCGCAAGGAATTGCAAATGAGCTCGTAAATAAATGGGCGGAAGCTGCCAAACTTAGTTCATTACCCGCTGTAACGAGAGAGTCATTAGATTCTTGGAAAGATCTAAGAAAGGATTTTATACTTATAGCAGGTAACAGTGGTGATGTCACTTGCACAGGTATTACCAGAGAAGAACTAATAACGGCGATTAAAGTTGGGAAATCTACCGCACCTGGGGAGGATGGAGTAACTTATGAAATACTTAATGAACTTGCCACTATGACGAAAAGCCCACTTTTAGACCTCTTTAATATTAGTTATAAAGAGGGCAGTATTCCCAGTAAATGGAAAAAAGCTATGATCATCCCTATCCCTAAAGCCAATGGAGAGTATAGACCTGTGTCTTTAACCTCGTGTTTTTGTAAAATGATGGAGAGGATCATTTTAAATAGACTTTTATATATAATAGGTGATCAGCTGTCTAGTAATTTGTTCGGGTTCCTCAAAGGAAAAAGTACCTCTGATTGTATTATTAAATGTCTAGCTAATGAAAATGATTATTATAGAATTTTCATTGATTTACAAGGAGCTTTTGATAAAGCCAACAAAGAGGTTATTTTATATGAATTAGCTAGTCTTGGTGTTAAAGGGAAATTATTGCGCTGGATAGGGGATTATCTTTACGAAAGGAAGGCTCAGGTGTGGTATCAAGGTTGTATGTCAGATGTGAGGTCTTTTGAACTCGGCACACCTCAGGGAGGAGTTTTGAGTCCCACCCTGTTTAATGTACTAATGAATAAGATAGCATCTGAGAGATACTCAAATGGGGTAACTCCGATCATATATGCCGATGATATTTTATTTCAGGGCAAAGATATTTCAAAGGTTCAAACAGTGTTGGACAATTTCGGAAACCTGTGTCACCATATGGGATTGGTGGTTAATGAAAACAAAACTAAGTTTGAATGTAGAAGTCGGAGCCCCATTGTTTTGAAAATAAACGATAAAAATATAGAGAGAGTTAATATATATAAATATTTAGGCATATATGTTGGATATACCCATGAGAGTTTGGAAGCTGAGATGAACAGACTGTTGGGTCAATGTCGGAAGAGATTACAACCTCTGAAGGCTTTGGCATGCTGTGGAAAGGGAGTGGGAGTCCCTGTGCTACGAATGTTATACTTGAGTACTGTAAGATCTCTTATTGATTATGCTGCACCTGTCATTTCTTGTTTTGGTAAAGGTAGGATGGGCAAGTTGGAGAAGGTACAAAATGAAGCAATGAGAATTATCTTAGGATGCCCAAGAAATGCTATGATTGAGATAATGAGGATCGAGTTGAATCTGCAGAGTATTGGGGATAGAATTTCAGAGATAAATGTAGCCTCTGCCATTAGATTAATGAGAGGTGGGGGAGCTAATGAATTAATCCTCTCGGTTCAAAAGGTGGGAAGTAGTGAACAGTGTATGATGAAGAAGAGAGTATATATGAATAAATTATGTTATAATGTTATAAAGTATGATGTTATTACAGAGTGTATTGCTGTGCCCAAGAGAAAATTTACACCACCATGGGAGGATTGTAATGTAGATGTAGTAATTACTCCCTTGCATAAGAAAAAAAGTATGTATGAAATAGGAGAGCTGAGGGCAACATATGATTGTATAATTAGAAAACTGCCTACGGAAAACACTCTACATGTATATTGTGATGGGTCAGTAGCTAGGGATGGAAAGGCAGGATGTGGAGTCTTGATCAGGGAGTACACTGACATCGGCACTGTAGATACTGTTATTGGACGCCGCTTAACTGACAATGTCTCTTCAACGCAGGCTGAACTCCAAGGAGTATTAGCAGGATTACAGGAAGTAGTCAAATGTGGTAAAAATGCTTGCTTCTTTATTGACAGCAGAGGAGCGTTAGAGTCTTTAAATAGCAGACGCCCAGTATATCAGAATATTGTGATAGAGTGTAGAGAGAATGTTAAAAGACTAGAAAAAACTGGGTATAAAGTAAGATTCATGTGGATCCCTTCACATGTGGGAATACTGTTGAATGAGGTAGTTGATGACATAGCGAAGAGAGCCACTGAAAAAACTCTTGTTGATGTTGTATGTCAGTTAACCTTGAAACAAATAAAAACAAGACTCAAGGTGATTCAGGAGGGTGAAGAAATGATAAAGAGAATGGCAATGGTGGACAGTAGTAACACACTTAAGAATTATTCAATAATAAATACAAATTCGTCCTTCACTTATGGTAAAGGAAAGTCTACTTGGAAGGATTCAATTTACATGAGATTACGATTAGGATATAAATATATCTGGCAATACGGTGTTGATGTCAGTGAAAAAGATAAGGAGTGTAAATTATGCAGTATGCCGTCCGCCCACACCTTAGAACATTATGTATTAGAGTGTCACCTTATTGAAAAATATAGAAATAAGGAAATAAATAGTGTACCACATCAAATTGTTTGGATGTGTGATAATGGTATAATAGACAGTATACTTAGGAGCTACAAGAATTTTTGCCCCAAGAATGTAACAATTATATGCTGTACTTGCTGTATGCAATGTTAAATGGGATTTTTGTACTGCTATATGTCTATTTGTACTCACTGAATTTGTGCGCCCCTTGAGGGACTTGAAGTAGAGGGGGGTAGAAATAGCCTAAGCTACTCTATCCCTTTGAGATGTATTTATTGCTTATCTCAATAAACATACTTGAACATACGAAAGTACTTAAGGAAATTCCTGTTTCAATTTTCCTCCGTGGTCTGACACCTGTCATATATAAATTTATATATATATTTGTATATATATAAATATATATATATATATATATATATATATATATATATATATATATATATATATATATATATATATATATATATTTATATAATTAATTAAGAAAATTTGTGTTATTAGTGAATGAGGAGGGAGGGAGGGACTGTCAGAATTCGGCTCAAAAATCACGCTCAGAAGTCAAATTTCCAACATTTCAGATATTTTGAAAACTGCAGAGGGGTTTGGGCAAAATATGACCCATCGCCGTTTTCAGTAATTGGCATATTTTCGGTATAAAAAGTCGTAAGTTGAAAATGAAAATAGGTGCTGAGAGGCAGATTCAGAGGGGGTCGGGCAGTGTTGTGGTAGAGAGGAGTACACACAGGTGTCGCCACACTGGAGCTCTGTCATACTTCTCTGAAAATGACGCAGTGTTATCTGGTAAAGTTCACGTTGTGAACTTGGCAGCCTATTTGTAAGGGAACTGTTAGTAGACGGAGATGGAGGATGATACTCCCTTGTAAGTATGAAATTGGCAGTGAATGTAGTGTGTGTGTTTGGCAAGGTTCAGTATAATTCACCAGTGTAATTACTACCCTCATATTTATCTTGTTGTTATTATGGTAAACGCAGATATCATAAAATACTGCTACAGTACAGTCGGTTTATTGTCTGCTACAATAAAATAGAACAAATTAGTGTATACAAAGCGAGGTATAGGGTGTTCACTTGCATCAACAGGATGTTTACTTCACATGGAGAACAAAAGTGTCAAAAACTGTTGATATACCATATGTAAAGTCCTCTAGGAACTACCTGTCTCGCTCTTATTACAGTGTTATGCGTTTATCCATCTGTCTCGTAGTAGCTGGGTCTGGGGCTTTCACGACTCAAAACAGAGTCCTGAACGTTAAAATTATCTGTTAGATTAAGGACCTGCCCAAAATGCTGCGTGTACTAGAGGCTTTACAAGATTGTAAATACTATGCCATGTATTTTCACAAACCCAATGTACCTTCTTGTATATAAATAAATAAAAAGTATTTCCCTTGTTAAACCTCAATGCAGAATTGAGTCGTTCGACTGTACTTTGTCTATCTCTTAAGTAATAGCTGAAATTATAAAAGATGATAACTTACTCTTGTCCAGGTGTAAATAAAAGTAAGTTATATTTCACAAGTTGTAATTAATTTAATTACCTAAGTGTAGTTACAGGATGAGAGCTACGCTCGTGGTGTCCCGTCTCCCCAGCACACTGTCATATAATGACCAAGTAATGTCCACACACAAATGATTGTGTGTGGACATAAGTGTTTAAGTAATAAATGCCCCATAAGGATTGTAAATTTTAAGAATGCATCCTTTTCATTGAAATAATATACTGTATTCAGTTTAGCATTGCACTTATAACCATTATGTCACTGGGATCAAGATAATGATACATTTATCATTTTAATCAAGCTTATATCTTATCTTTACTGCCCACCCATATGATTAGCTATCTAGTCATTACCGAGGTTATTGCAGGTATATTAGTAAGGTTTTGGCAGTTGAGCACATATACTGTGATCCCTTAGCTTGATATTCTGTAAATATTGTTATAGTTGACTTGAAGTGCTCTACAGTGTACCTTATATAAAAAATACAGCATTTAAAGATAATTAAACCACTACATTTGACAAATTTATTTGGGTAAAGTAGTGGACACTTGGTACAGTATTGACATTGTTGGTAAATAAAAAAAAAAATAGTAATGTAAGTGTTTTTTGCTAGTGTTCTGGTATGAATTGAAAGGAGTGACATTTTCCCATAAGATAAGGCTGAAATGGACAATACATTAAAAATCACTGGCATATGAATGAAAAACAGGCTGTATTCGGAGTTTCGTTGCATACAAAGTGTCTGTACTTGTGGTCGGTCTCGAGCCCGTTGTTGATATGAGGATGTGCATTGAATTTTGTAACTAGCTCATCAAGATTGTAACTTGCTTAGCTAAATGAATTATGGGATTCTGTCCCTGAGCCCATTTTGTGCTTCTGTAACACTTTCTACTACCGCCCACAAGATGGGTATGGGGTGTATAAGCATCAGGTGAAAGGAAATGTTGCCAAAATGCTTCTGACCTGCTGCATGGATTTAGGGACCCCTTGGCTGTGGGCCAGCAACGTAGGCTTCCAAAGATAAAAAAATAGGTCACATTAAATGCAGTCTAAAAAAAACTGTTACTCTTTTAAAATAATAAACTTATTTCTTGAGTAATTAGTACTTGTATATTGTAATATTATTGTTAGTGTACATTATTTTTATACAAGTGATCGATAATGCATTTCGATCCTTGAACCAGTGAACTTGTTAGTATACTGTGCCAGGCTTATGAATGTAGAACAGTTCTACATTTATAAATCTTAAATAAATATGAATAAGTACTCAATATTTAAAGTATTGAGTGCTTATTATATTTACATTTCATTGTGTTATATACATTAGTACGGTATGAAGAGTTCTAGATAAGAATTCACTGTACATATTTCTGTTCCTGTTTTACTGGGCAAAATAATCTTTGCTAATATTGTAGTAGTACTTATTATCCCCTAAATGAATAATTATACTCTTCTTTTAGATACTTTTCTGTTGATATGATTGTATTTATAGTACAGTAGTTGCAATTCCTTTGGCAGCTCGTAATGTTAGATTTTTCATTAACGTTTTGTACATCTTATTCAGGGTAGAAAGGAAGGATTTATTACAAAGAAAAATATTTCTAACCACACATTTTTGTTTTTCTTTTCAGACGGATTGTGCCTGCCAGTCGCACGGAGGGTCAGCGGACTGGCAGTGCACCTGCGTCAACTCTTGGTTCCACTCTTGCTGCAGCGGCTGTCAACCGTCAACAGCATCAACCACAAACTCATCCTCAACCCCACCAGCACTCATTTTCTCTACCTACCCATTCTCAAAGTGTACCTGCAGCTACATCCACAAGCACCTCCATGACCATGGCTTCTACAAAGCCACACACCCTCTCCAGAAGCCTGTCTCGAAAAGAGCAAGTTAAAGCGTAAGTACTACAGTATATCGTCACCCATTTATCCATTTTCATGTAGAGGGTTTATTTTATTTACAGTAGAGCCGTGAAAGAGTGAAATAATATGCCAAGTTATGGGATTGAAGTGAACACTTTGGCTAATTTTTAATAATTGGTTGTCAGGATGGCAAGTATATGTAGTCTGATAATAAAAATGTGATTTAAATGGGTACAGTTTACTAATAGTCTTAGGATGTTTAATAATCATAAATTGTACATGTTCTCTAAGTTTAGGGAAAAATTAATAGTACAGTATGTGTATTAGTAATGAGCTGGCAGTGGCAGAAACATGGTTTGTAACTTTAGGGTTGGAGTGAACTCGGTAAACAGTTTAACAACTGGTTGAATATTATTACAAATCTTGTATATTAAATTCTGAACCTATTTACAGTAGTTGTGAATTATTTAAAAATAAGGATTATCATTGGAAATTATTGGACCTGAACCTAGGGTTCAGTTCTTGCACCAGTGATGTTTATTGTCTACATAAATGATCTACCAGTTGGTATACAGAATTATATGAAGATATTTGCTGATGATGCTAAGATAATAGGAAGGATAAGAAACATAGTTGATTGTCATGCCCTTCAAGATGACCTGGACAAAATAAGTATATGGAGCACCACTTGGCAAATGGAATTAATGTTAATAAATGCCATGTTGTGGAATGTGGAATAGGAGAACATAGATCCCATGCAACCTGTATATTATGTGAGAAATCTTTAAAGAATTCTGATAATGAAAGAGATCTAGGGGTGGTTCTAGATAGAAACTATCACCCAAGAACCACATAAAGAACGTTGTGCGAGGAGCCTATGCCACGCTTTCTAACTTCAGAATTGCTTTTAAATACATGGATGGCGATATACTAAAGAAATTGTTCATGACTTTTGTTAGGCCAAAGCTAGAATATGGAGCGGTTGTGTGGTGCCCATATCTTAAAAAGCACATCAACAAACTGGAAAAGGTGCAAAGACATGCTACTAAGTGGCTCCCAGAACTGAAGGGCAAGAGCTATGAGGAGAGGTTAGAGGCATAAAATATGCCAAAACTAGAAGACAAGAAAAAGAGGTGATATGATCACTACGTACAAAATAGTAACAGGAATTGATAAAATCAAAAGGGAAGATTTCCTGAGACCTGGAACTTTAAGAACAAGAAAGAGGTCATAGATTTAAACTAGCTAAACTCAGATGCCGAAGAAATATAAGAATATTCACTTTCGCAAACAAAGTGGTAGACGGTTGGAACAAGTTAGGTGAGAAGGTGGTGGAGGCCAAGACCGTCAGTAGTTTCAAAGCGTTATATGACAAAGAGTGCTGGGAAGATGGGACACCACGAGCGTAGCTCTGATCCTGTAACTACACTTAGGTAATTCCACTTAGGTAATTACACACTGATACACACACTGTATTCCATTTGGTAGGCTGTTTATGTAGACAATGAGTATTACTGGTGCAAGAAATGAACCCTGTGGTACTCCACTTGTGACATTTCTCCATTCTGATTCATTGCCTCTGATTACTGCCCTCATTTTTCTGTCAGAAAATTTTTCGTCCCTGTTGGAAGCCTACCTGTCACTCCTCCAGTATGTTCCAGTTTCCAGAACAGCCTTTTTATGTTGAACTCTGTCGAAAGCCATTTTTTAGGTCCGGATAGATGAAATCAACTCAACCATCTCTTTCTTGTAAAATCTATGGAGCTCTTATCATAGAAATTTAGTACACAGGATCTTCCAGATTGAAAACCATACTGCCTGTCTGTTGTTAAATAATTTTTCTCCAGATGTTCTACCATTTAGTTTTAATTATTTTTTCCAATATTTTGACAATTACATTTGTAAATTATACAGATCTATAATTAAAAGGGGGTCTTTCCTGCTGCCATGTTTTGTTGCTTTTGGAACTATGTTAGCCATTTTCCACACATCTGCTAGGACTCTTGTACACAGATGCCTCAAAAATCAATTGAAGTGGAATGCTGAGCTCAGGTGCACATTCTCTCAGAACCCATGGTGAAACTCCATCTGGGGCAACTGCTGTGTTCATACTGTACTTAGCTTTAACATGTTCATATATGAATGTCTCCAGGATGAGGTTTATGAATCTACAGGTCCAAAAGTCCTCCGTACTAGCTTTGTAGGCTTCCCAGTCTATGGATTTCAAGTTGAAGTCACTACCAGCAGTCGTGATGTATCTTTATCTGCTCTTGTGGATATATCTCATGATTGTTATGAGGCCCTCTCGTTTATTGCCCAGCTCCTCCTTTGTCCATGTGGTGGTGTACAGTTTCGGCCTGTAGGTGAAAGAATAGCAAATACCATAGGCAATGAGGACTTCAATGCTAGCTCAGGGTGGCTGCAGAAGTTTAACAGATCTATAATCTAAAAGCTTCCTTACCGCATAGAGCGAGCCAGATTCTGGCCCTAGCTCCTAGCCCTTAGTCTCAGGGGACTAGTTCATGTTTGTAAAGCATGGCTTAGCTCAGGAAACTGCTGAGGGCACCAGCAGGAAAGGGTGTTTCATTACATTAAGTTTCGAGTTTTAAGTTTACAGACCCAGTAACACACGAGTAATTATACTACAGTACTGTACCCTACTTGACTGAAGTTTGAGAACATTAAAAAGATTTGAATGTTTATAGCTTTATTTATTATGGGCAATTTGTTTGGAATTCACTATCTACCAGTGATGAAATTGTTTGTTTAACCACTTCAGAAAGAGGTTTGTATTAAATAAATTTAAACATCATTTGGTAGTACAGTACAAAGATTATAAGACTGTACAACATTATATTTCCCATTAGTTTATCTGTACAGTACTCAGATTAAAGGTTTTTACTCTCCAATCTCAGACTGGGACTAGGCTTATCCTATGGTAATGATTGACAAGGTTGTTTCTTGTAGCAGCCTGCAGACCCAAATATCTATTACAAACCAATTTTTCCAGTATTATATTCTAATAGACTGATCTATCCCAGGGTTTCTGAGCAGTCCAAAAAGTAAGTTAACTGAATATTCTGGTTTTCCATCCCTGATTGTGCTCTAACATTATTCCTAGCACTTTCTGCCATTACATCCCGAACTCTTTCCTCATTGATCTGATTTTCCATCCCCAACTCTTAGTTGTGTCGTTGTTCCGAACTCTTTGCTCTGGTGTTCCACTCGTGACTGACATTACGTGTTCCACCTGACTGAGTGCTTTGGTTCGATTGGGACAAGGTGCTGCGTGCTTTATCAAGGTGCTGCGGCTTTATCAGTGACTATGCCTAGACATTTTATCCCTGGTTGTGATGATTCATGCCCTGGCTGTGTACTGTGATGATTCATCCCTTGACCTTCCATTTATGACTGTGCTCTGATATTCTTCCCAACCTTGTCCTCTGACATTTTACTCACAATAACCCAGTCAAGTGTTCATACGAAACATTCCTTATTTTTTTCTGACTGTTTTACACACACACACACATTCCCAAGTTGTTTTATTGCTCAAGTCTTGTACTGCCCTCATGCTGAATGTCTGAATATTATGTAATTAAGTTTGGTTTAGCAAGAAATACAGCATACACTTGCATTTATTTGTATGGCAATATGTTTTATTGTAAAGATAAATGTGGATTATATTCTATCACTAAATTAATTATTTCAGAGAGAGTTTATATAAGTAATGTAGCTTTGTTTATTTAAGAGAAAGTTATTATTATAGATTGTCTTGTAATAGTTCATTGTGCAAGGTATCTAAAATAATTTTACTTGATATTAAAATACAATATGTAAAAAAAGTAATAGAGCTGCAGTTTAGTAATTCCCCCACTTTGACAGCCCTGTTCAGGAAGGTCATTATACTGCCATAAGTTTAGAGAAGGAAGAAGAAAGTAATTGCAGCTCCAAGTTTACTCAAATTCCAGGATTTGTTAAAGACTACATAATTAACATGTCGCCAAACAAAGAATGGGTGTGCAGATACCATAGGTATTCTAAATATTGAACAAGTTTGAAGTTTTGAGCACTACATTTTCAAGATGCTTAATGTCAAACAGCAAGACTTAAACTTTGCCAAGACAAATTTATATAGTATCTGATTATTGCTGCTTATTCCTTCATACTATTTGTCTTTTGAATACAGCCGACTTTGTTTTTCAAAAAGCGTTTATGTATCTTGGGTTTTATTGATTAGTTATGATGCCCAGTAGACACTTGCTTGAACGAAATGTGGTATGTAAACCAGAAAGTCAGATGCAACAGGAGTATTTCTGTAGTATGATCATTATATAGTATTTAGTCACACTGGACTATAATGTCTGACTTTATTTGGAAGAGTTTTGAGATTTTGGTGATGTGTTTATAGCAAAAATTTATCCGAGTGTTTAAAGTTTTTGCGACTCTTATTCAGCCTTTTTAGTGGAGTTTCCTCAGTGTGGGCAGTATTATGACTCCTCAGCTCTCCAGCCTCTTTAAAAGGGGCAAGATTCTTATGGCACAAAGCATAAATTCATGACAAAAGTTTAAAAATACAGTACTTGGTTTGAAAATAAGCAAAGTTATGTAAAATTTATAAAGTGGATAAATTAGTTGGAACTGGACACAATATTTTTTTTTAAGGTGAAGGATATATGCAAAAAATTTAATGCTGAAAATTTCTGTAAAATGAGAGGAAATTCAGTATTTGGAAAATATACTGTATAATTATTTACATATAGACTTATTGCAAAGTAAATGGCTTCTCTCGTAGTAAAAAAGCGCGTTGTTTTCTTTGGTTAAATTTATAGGTGGATTTAGGTATGTGAAAGGTAAGGGCATGTGTTAATGATAATTTTGTTTTGTCCATTAGGTACGTGAAGAAAGAGACCCGAGAGTTCTTTGGATTAGACGAGTCTTCTGAGGCAAATCAGCGGCAGCGATGGCAAGAGAAACGGAAACGCCTGGCCAGCCGCAAGTATGGCCAGCTCAAGGACCAGCCCAACACTACCCACCACACACAGTCTTTCACCAGTGACTTCCATGCCTTACCAGAGGTAAATACCCATATGGTTATTGTAACTCTTGCATTCCATGGTATGCAAGGGAGATATCCTTGCTAGATCAGTTATGGTGGTTTTTAAGGTACTTCTGATCATTCATCAAATCTGTAGGTGAGCATGTTTGTTATGCAGTGGGTATGGTAATACAGTATTGTATTACTAGGTTGTTGCAGGTTTTTGGACAGTTGTTGAGCAGACAGATGATAAGTATGGGATCTGTTAAGTGTGGTTTTGTTTGTTCTAGGGTATGAGAGTCAGATATTGATGACAAGGAAAATATATACCTTTGAAAAATACTTTTTTTTTAGTTTCTTGCATATTGTGAAATATTTGAGAAGCAAATTGAATAGACATAAATGATTGAAGAAATTAAAAATAGATTCTGTACACCCAATGAGGATGGTTGGTTATGCAACTACTTTTTATCTGAAAGCTTTTTGTCTTTGTTTTTTAACTGTCTCTGACCTTCCTGATGATAATGACCTTCCTAGATAAATATTTACCAATTCCTCTTGTCCTGTTTAGTTTTAGGCAGCATTAATGCCCTCATTTTTTGTTTCAAATTTTGACTTACGGCACACAACTGTTGTGAAGGGTGTCCCTTGGCATGCAGCTGTCACATAGGGTGCCCCTTGGCACACAGCTGTCATGAAGGGGGTGACCCTTGGCACAGCTGTCATGAAGGGTGACCCTTGGCATGCAGCTGTCATAAAGGGGGACTCTTGGCATGTAGCCGTCATAAAATATGCCACTCCCTATGTAGTAGTATGCATCCATCAGTCTTGGGAGACTATGGAGTTGTGTTCCGATTGTCGGTCCGGAGTGGCCTCTCCTGGGCGCAAAGCCAGGGTAGGTTGATACGGAGAAGCTGTTACCCATGCAGCAGGTCCCCCATCTCCACGGCCCCAAAAGTCTCCAATGGAAGGCAAATGCCAATACGATTGGTTCCAGTGCCATCGCAGGAACTGTCAGAACGAGGTTGAAGGTAACATTGAATGGCCCCAGGGGCTCCAGCTCCAAATGTTACCTCGAAGTTGGTAAAAGAAGGCACAGGGACTCCAAACCCGGAGACTGCCATGGTTGGGGCTCGAGGAGAACTATGTACAAAAATACAAATTATAAAATACGTTTACATGCAATTAATAAGGAAAAGCCCCCCCCCCCCCCAAAAAAAAAAAAAAATATTCATGACAAGAAGAAGTCATTGGGCCTGTGGACTTGTAAGTTTTTGCTGTCTCATCATGTAGAGAACTGTGAGCTGTGTGATTGTATTAGGGGGATTTATAAGTTTGCTATTTTCAGTTTACAAAATGTGTGGAAGAACTATTTATTTACACAAAATTGACAAACTGTCAATAGCCTACAATGTAATATGTATAGTTACATTGCATTGCAAGTAAATCTGTTCCTGGCACAGTTCAAAGGAAGTGTCTTGCAACATACTCATTTCCTGCTGTTCTGTCTGTTAATATTGTCCATAAATAGATTCAAACACTGGTGGGAAATGCCAAATTGTGATTAATACAAGTTTATTTAGAATAAAATAGTATGGATGGGTTGATTATGTATAAAATAAAAGTTTCCACGGGTGTAACCATGATCAACTAGTCTACTACCTATTCAACTAGTAAATTTATATATTGAAAGAGAAATGTTAGTGTTGGGATCTCATTTAATTTAACATTTAAATTTGAATGCACTTCATCTTTTACAGCTTCAGGAGGGAGTGGGCAGTGGTCTGTCTGACTCCATAGATGGAGTGCCGTGGCCGCAACCACCTCACCGAGGGAAGGACTCGGTTGCCAAGATGACCTGGGATGGCCTCTCTTTTGTAGTTTCTGTGAGTGTGTTATATAGCTTTACAGTTTCTAAATTATACCTGCACCCAGTTCCTAAACTCATGTATCTGATTAAATTGAGGGAGATTTTATTTATTTTTGGTTATTAAAAATTTCTTTATGTACTGTTGGTGCACTAAATTTGAAAGTGCTTGAAAATTCTTAATTTTGGGGCCTCATTTCTAGACGATATCTGGAAAAATCATTCATCCGATTCACTTGCATTTGGTAGTTGCACACGAGCAGACTTACTGTGTTTTTCTCACTGAAGCAAAGTTTCTGCAAGGGACTGGAACTTCTAACGAAGTTTTTTGATATTATATGAATCTTATTTGGGATTAACAGGTCAAAGTCAGAAAGTCTGTCTGAGTTTGGGGGGCTAGATGCCTGGGCTAGCCTTGTGCTAGCCTTATCAAACTAGTCTTTGATAACTTATCAATTATGTATAAAAAAATACAAATTTTTGTATTTTTGGTACCTTTGCAGACGGTTGCAAAACGGAGAGCGAAGAGTCAAATATCGGGCACTGCTGGCGGCCGGTCTAAAAGTCGCAGCTATGCTCCATCATCCATGTCTGCAGCGGATGATGTGTTTGAAGAGCCAGATGTGTCTCCTACCACAACTGCCACCACCACCACCACCACAACTGCGGCGACCATGCGCCCTACCCCACCTGCGGATCATTATACTATGGAGTCACTTTCAGATGAAGTATGTCCAATGTACAAGCAACAGTTTAGAAATGTCAGTTTTGGTATTAATTATTGAGGGTTTATTATTGGTAGTTCAGTATTATTGGTAGAAGAGTAAAGGACACAGCCTAAGATTCTCTGCCTATCCTTTTATCTTTCCTTATATGCATCTTCCATCTGTCTTCCCCTTTCCTTAGATTTTACCCATCTCTCTTTCTCTCTTTGCTATCTGTTACTCATTTGTTGGTTTCCCTGTATCTCTTCCATCTGTCATTCTATTATTCTTTGAGTATGTCTGTCCTTCTTTTGGTCTCTCACTTCCCATTCTGACTCTGTCCTCTGTTTCTTCTTAATCTGTCATTCACATTCTCTTAAAACTAACATAATTGTATGTACAAATACAAATGATGGAATACAATGTGATTGTATTCCATCATAACTTGACATTAACCACAATATCCCTAAAATTCATCAACTTACGAATTTGATTATCAACACATCTTGATCGTATTTAATTTTTGTCACTGTGTTGTGTTATCACATAACCAGATTTCTGTATCTGCTTAATTACCTTTTTATATATATTTAAACTGATGACTGGTTTTCCCTTTTGTCATGACTAGTCATGACAAAAGCCTGCAGGCAGCTCTTATCAAAACGTTCTCCTCACTTCTATTTCTCCCCTTGTGGGCTCTCTTTGGGTTTCTTACGATAATTTTAAGAGTTATAGTTTATATTTCTATAGCTTATAATTGCAGGTTGCATGTTTTTGTAATATGTCAGTGTTTGCATAGATAAATACATCATCATTAGAAGACAGAGGATTCTTTCCTCTATTGTTTAAATGTGACTGACATACGTGTTTCTTCAGTTTGTTTTCATTCCCACTTTTCCTTCATACATACCTTTATATTAACTTGGGTTTAAAGAATGTGTTTGACAAAATAATAAACTACAGATTTCTGCATTGAATTTGATATAACTCTGTACAGAACTGTCTGAAATATTTGAGTGGAAATGTCAACAAATTCCAGCAATAATTATAAGTATAGTGGTACCTCGGTGTATGAATTTAATTCGTTCCAAAAAAAATGCAATACAGCCCGAATATTGGTACACTGAATCAAATTTTCCCATAAGAAATTATGTAAATTTAATTAATCTGTTCCACATACAAAAAATAATAACTTAAAATTATATTTTATACAGAATATTTCCTATATTTTTCACGTACAAAATGTTAAGGAATAAATATAAACTGTATATATAATAAATGTACATTTAACTGCACTTTACATTTAATGAGGACTCTTGTTGGTGTATGGAAGATGGTGTGGAGAGGGGAGGAGGAGAGGTGATGGCGAGGAGGGGGAAGGAGGAGAGGTGTTGGTGTATGGAAAAGGATGAGGAGGGGGGAAAGAGGAGAGGTGTTTGTGTATGGAAGATAGTGAGGAGGGGGAAAAGGAGAGGTGTTGGTGTATGGAAGGGGAGTCACTTCCATTATAACATCAGACAGTTAAGACATTTCTGGGTTACTGTCTCATGTGTTTTGTAGACATACCACTAGGACCTAGTTGTGGCGCACTGATTGTTTCTCTCACTAAGAATCTGTCTAAAGACGCTTGGTTTTTGCCCACATTTTAATAATTGTCTGTAGTGAGACGTGTATAGCCTAGCCAGATCAACCGTGCCTACCACCTTCATTTTATGAAGAATTTTTTTTTCCCCTTCCTATCATCATCCTCAACTATTTTCTTAGGTTGAACTTTACCACTGACTTTCTTGGGATCCATGGCATGATATATACAGTAATAAGAATTTTTATATTAAGCCACAAAAAAGCCCATAAACGATGAAATATTTCAGAAAGAATTCAAGCGCGGTTATCACAAGGTGGGGGGGGGGGAAGATACAAGTGTAAACTGATCTTACTGACTCGGACAAGTATGAACAAGCGGTTTGTACACCAGGGCACATTTTCAGACAAAGTTGTCATCGTACGTACATCGTACCTAGAAAATGTATATTCAGGTTCAATCGTGCACCAAGGTTCCACTGTATTCTACTGATATATATATATTTGTATAAATGTATTAGTAGAGTGGCATAAATGTACAGTGTAGTGTTTTTACTTCATTATACATATACTAAACATAATTCGTGAACTGCTCTGGCATGTATTAGTAATATACAACTAGTTTATATCTTGGTTGACTTATTATTCACTCTATACTCGTCCTGTGGGCATTAGTGGAAAGGGTTACAGAGGCACATAATGGGCTCAGGGACTGAACCCCCCAAATTCATTTAGCTAAGCAAGTTAGTCTTGATGAGGTAGTTACAAAATTTAATGTATATTGTTACATCAACTATGGGTTAGAGACCAACCACAAACACAGTCTCCAAACTAAGCAACTTGTATATGGAAAGCTAGTGTCATAATTGATATGTAGTGTTACCAATGTAATAATTACCTATGTAAATTTTGATGATAAGTGTAAAGAAACTTTAAACTCTTGTTTCAGACTAACTTGGAACCAATTGAAATGTTACTATTTTAGAGGGTTTGTTATGCGAATTGTAGTAATGTGTTGGTGTTCTTGCAGGTGTTCTTTGACAGCAAGGTACCAGGGAGCCCTGAAGCTGTGACTGGCCCTACTAGTTATGATAATAGTAAAGAAGTAAGTGTATAAATACAGCCTGGAAATTGTGTGTGTGTTTAAATTTTCATTATTGTTGAGTTGGCCACTCGCCTGTACAGAGACTCTCTTGAATGCTTGACATTTAATTACAATGTTTGGGGAAGTATAACTGACACCAGTTTATTCAACATCTGCAATTCTATCAGCAGCTGGTTCACTATGAATGAGTTTAACGTTAAGTGCAGTTTTTAAGTTAATGAATGTGTGTTTTTAGGTGCTTGATGAGCTAAAGTCAGTCAGTTTCAGTTAATTTGTTGATACATCTAGATGCCTGGCTGGGTTTCCTATTGTTTTCTCAAGATTAATATAACAAAAGTCATAAACAATTTCTTTAGTATTTTGCCATCCATGTATTTAAAAGCAATTCTGAAGCTAGAAAGTGTAGCATACTCCTTGCACGATGTTCTTTGTGGTTCTCAGGTGATATTTTCTATCTAGAATCACCCATACATCTCTTTCTTTATCAGAATTTCTTCTTCGTTTCCTGCTCTCATTTTGCCTCAATGAGGCTCGGTTTCAACTTCTGTCTTCTTTTGAAAGATCATTTCTTAATGACCAAAAGGGTCATTATGGGCTGATGGGCTGCCGGTAGTGAGCTGGGTGGTGGATATAATACACAGTAATATAGGCACATTGAAATGGGTGTATATTAGGTCAAATGGAGAATCTAGATAATCTTTGTTTTTCTACACTTTCTTATTTTTTGGTACAATGGTGTTCCTTCCAGAGGATTCAACTTTTGAAATCATTTGAAATACAGTATATCAAAAAAATCTACAAGGTGAAAAAAATCTACCCTCATGTGATATGGAGTTCTTGACAAAAGGGAAAAAGGCATAAAATGTACAAATCTATATAATGTCTTAATGTTTTTGGGTAACTGAATTGTTTCATTCAGGTCGGAGGAGGAAGGTACCACCCAAGTGTTCAAGAGTGGCAGAGACCGGTATCAGACTCGGTTGATGCCAGTGGACGGTCGAGTGCTCACATAGGCCGCTCGCGTATCTGGAATCGAATTTTGGACAGCTGTTTCGATAACTCTGATAGAAGACAATATGGCAGAGGAATTGCTGGTCGAATTTTCCGGCGAACATTCAAGGAGAGTGTGAGGAAAGACAAGGAGGTAAGGATAGGGAGAAATTGTTAAGTACTCTACATGTGTCTAATACTAAAATGAGTTTTGTGCTGGTGTTTCTTTAATTTCCTATTAGAAGAAATTTATTTATAACGGTAATAACTGAACATCAGTCTTTTATTGTGAAGAGTAACCATGGTAAAAAAAATTATAATATTTTTGCCAAATATTCCCTGACCTTGCTTCCTTTTGTGATTTCTGTAAACTATGCATTATAATAAACACTTGCATCCTGTATATTTAAGATTTGTTACTGGAATTGTTAGTATATTGTATTTATACATTCACCAGTTATTGATGGTGAAAATACTATCTGTATAACAGGAAATTCCACAATAAACTGGTATAATTGTGCATTTTATTTTTACTTAATAGGAAAGTCACCTCCTGAGTTATTTGAGTAATTTTTCTATATTTTGTTATTTAAATATTTTAATACATATTTTAGTACCAAGAAAACTTGCAAAAAAGGTGTCGCCATGTATTTAAATTAAAATGGATAATGAAAATTTGCAACCCTACATTTTTGGTGGGAAAATGCAAGCCACAAAACACCTTTTTTTTTTTTCTAAAGTTCAACACATTGTTTTTATCCGATTTTGACAGTTTTCACACAATTCACAAATCGGCAAGCTTTGCAGTGATTTTGACAACGTTTGAATTTTTTTATCGAGATCAAAAAGATGCATGATATGTTTCATCATTAGGAAACAGCTCGTAATATTTTCATTAAGAAACACTATAGAAGTTTGTCTGGTTATTCTGGTGATCCCATATAAATGAGTGCAGTAATATTTGTGAATGAAAGTTTAAGTTACATCATCGTGTATTACTATTATTGTTAATTTTCTTTCTTTTGCTTTAAACTTGGTTTTCAGTAATCATGCTTATGTTTAAGACTAAATATCAGACACATAAAATGTGAAAAATGCCTGTAATGTTAACGTGAGATCGTTATTGACCACAGTGGCAGGTTATATAGTGAGGTGGAGAATTATACTGATACTTATCTGGTTAAGTACCATGGATGTGTTCCTGGAAATGGGAGAGCTAACTTAATAAACACGTTTCAGGATAATTTTACAGATGCATTTTCAACATTATTTATTACTTAGGATTATCAAGTTGCAAAACAGTAATATAGATGATAAATACGATTTTGCTAATAAATACTGTTCTGTACTTTATCATTAATAATAATCAAGTGAGATGCAAATTCATTAAGTAAAATGGTGTACTCATTAGTGCATAGTAAAAACCCAAACATGGTGAATTTGTCAGTGTTGGGAGACAAACTGTAAGATACTAGGAGGAAGCCCAGGTTGTGGCCCATCTCCTGCTCGAGGAAGATATCAAAGCTTATGAACAAATCCACAAGGGCCGTGACGAGGGTTCGAACTTACGTCCAGGGTGATCCCAGACACGCCTTAGTTGATTGTCCCACAATATGGTTAAAAGAATTGCAACCGGGAGTGCTACTGCTCTCCTGCAGTCTCTCTGAGACACAAACTGGGGTTTTACACAATTCCCCCTATTGTGTAAAACCCCGGTTTGTCTTGGAGAGGCTGCGGGATCCGTGTGAGAGCAGTAGCACTCCCGGCTGCATTTCTTTTAACTATGTTGTGGAGCAATCGACTAAGTCACGTCTGGGATCACCCCGGACGTAAGTTCGAACCCTCACCCTTCGAAGCCCTCGTGGATTTGTGTATTTGATGTATCACGAAATTGTGATGTGTGTATATCAAAGCTTAATTGCCTTGCCTGAAGCGGCTTCTCACAGAGCATTTCTTTGTACCAGTAGATAACATTGACAACATTTCTTTTCACTGCAGTGTTGTCAAAATCTGCATAATTTTCAGTGAAAATCCAGGCCATCCATGGTCTTGGATATTCTGTCAAAAGTCCTGGGGGTAGGTTTCTTTTGGAGAACTATCATTTGTAGATGTCATCATCCTTGTTTTCCAGCTTCAGTAGTTCATTCATAAGACTTACTTAATGAGACTGAGTAGCTCCTGCACATCATTGATCTCAAATTCATCTACACTTGGTTTGTTGGCAAGCTGAACTATTAAACTATTGGCAGTCACCATTTTGTTGTCTTCAGAATTCCTAAAGTTGTGGCATGCATTTGGTAATAGCTTTTTCCAGCAACTGTTCATACAAGTATCTGTCACTTCCTCCCAGGTTGCACTAATATTTCTGATGCTCTTCATAATATTGAAAGATTTTTCAAGCCTCTGGCTGTTGATCTTTACCTTCTTTTTTCTCGACAAGTTCCTTGAGAGTTTGTCATGGGTAGTAGAGCTTGAAGTTTGATATGATGTCCTGATCCATCGGCTGAATAAGTGAAATCATGGTTTAGCAAAAGGAATACCATTTGTACAAGTAGTAAAGTCTGTAAACCATTCAGGTTTTCTGGGGGGCCAAGGGGCATTATCAATACTACTATGGGTTCCTGGTCATTTACCTAGCAATAACACTTCACTGCTGGTGTTGGGTATCTGGGGCTTTGACTCAAATATAAAATTATTTAATTAAGAGAATATACTCGAAGCACCACCCACTTTTGAGAAAAGAGGGAAGACAAATAAAGGAATTATAAGACTGACACTGTGGAACTAGTGCCTGTGTATGTTAGATTATTTAACAATCATTTAAAGAGAATGAATGGACTGTATTAATAATTAATTGAAAGTTAAAAGCCTAGAATACCAACATTGGGGGGTATTACAGTACTAGAAATTCATATATTAATTATATTGGGGAAATTATTAATTATTAATTATATTCGGGAAACTATTAATTATTTGGGAAACTGAAGGAGTACAATTTAAACTATCACCAATAAATATATTGGATAATAATACCTTTTCTCGTAAGGCAGTTGATCTAATTAACATTGCACAAATTGAACGAGAAGGGTTGACGTTTATTTATTTTACGCCACAGTAATTTTTTACTGGAATAATTGATTTAGTTAAATAGTCGAGCTCAGTATGCTTAAGCATGCGAAATGGTTATTTCTTTCATAAAGGACAATAATTTTAGAAAGAGAGTAATTAACTGAACTCTATATTTCTCCAACATGTGTGGGAGACTTCATGGTTTAGCCTGCTGTCGACGCTTTGCGTCATGATGGCTGGGAATTTTCTGGCTAAATTGTGCCTTACTATGGAAACGCTAACGTTATTAATTCTATATAGTAGTAGTAGTATTAGTAATTACTATGGGTTAATACAATAATGATGTGTTAGTGTTGAAAACTTTCCAACAGCTGGACAAAACCATGGCATTTGCATTTCTCATTTAAAGATGTTCATGTTAGATGTGCATTTGACAAAATTAGAATAAGGCTGCATTTTTTGTTGTCCAAGTTGGATAATTGTGTGGACTAAGCTTCAAATTTATATTTACATTGCAAATTGTTTGTGTTTAAAGGCTTTAACTACTAACCATAATTAAAAAAAAAATTGTGTTAAGTAGGCAGGTTGTTTAGCTAATTGACTTGTATCATATTTTAGACTAACACCTGCACTTAATGTTTTGGCAGGTGAAGAAGCAAATAGACGAGATGAGTGACTATCGACCGTACTTCACGTGGTGGGTCACGACTGTACAAGTGTTCATCCTTCTGCTCTCCATCATGTGTTATGGCCTCGCTCCTAAAGGCTTCACTCTGCAACAACAATCGGGACAGGTAAGTATATTAAAGGTTGATGGATTCTTGTGTGGAGTTTACTTAAGTTCTCATAAGTGAACTTTTTACATAAGTTAATGTGTAATAACTGAAATTATATACTGAATTCAGTTGCCACAGGATAATGATCATGGAAGTCAGGCAGATGACATTCTTGGCACTGATCCTAAGATGATCCCTAAGAGATCCCACTTTCTGCTCTACTCCAGCATATGTCTTTTTCGGATTATGATTGACATTTCTATTAGGTACTCCCTTACTTCCAATTCAGTGTTTTTACTGTTATCACAACTACTCTCCATCTTGTGCATTTGTGAGAAATTATCAGAAGTTTTTTGCCAGTCTAGGAAGGTGCAGTCTTCCCCATCCTTCTTCCTCTTCTCTTATTTTGGTAACCTTGTCATAACATTTAATCAAATGTGATGATTTTCCCTCTTGAAATCCGTGTTGTCCCTTCATTACAAAATTGACTCTCCAAGTGTTCTTCTTTTCTTTTTCCAATTCCTTTCACCTGAATTTTGTACGAGATGCATTTTAGTGATACCGATCTATGATTTACTGCTTCATGTCTGTTTCCTTTGAATATTGGAGTAACATTTGCCTTTTACCAGATTCCCTGAAGCTCTCCAGTCTAGTGTTATGTTGAAAGCTTTTGTTAGTGGATAAAACACCACTTCTACAATATTTTCTGTTATGTCCAGTTTTGCCTCTGGCTCATGGTTATCACCTCTCCTTCGACACTGATATGGGTCCAGGTTATAGACCTTCTGCAACCTCTTGTTGAGTTCTTCACTCACTTTGTAATTCTCCATGAGTATTCCTCCATGTCCTTGCAGTCTGATAACATGGTCTGTATAAGGCTACGTATCGGCTTAGATTGGTCCTTTCATTTGTTGCAATATTGTTTGAAAACTGCTGCTCACTGATTTCCTGGCTGGTAGCTTTAGTGCATTTCTATTTGCTTCTTTATCAAATTATCTTTACTTTTTCTATTCCTTTTGTGTTTTCTCATTTTCCTCTATATATTATCTGTTAAACCACACCTTTACTGTTCTCTGTTCCCTCCTAATTGATATGAATTGCTCTGTTGCTGCTGTGCTACAAATTCCATCATCTCAATCACTGACGATTGAGGATCACTCAAGATCACTCTTGCATTTGAACATTCTTTAGGTTGGCCATATCAGATGAGGGATCCTGTAGATTCTTCATCTGTTCTCTTGTCCTCTTCAACCTGTTTCTTAGTCTGGTTCCCTTTTTCAGTTTTACAATAGAAAAAGGCAGACACGCTAACCTGCAGTTAGCAAGAACCTTCTGCCACATTGGTGGTTACATGTGATACCAAGAGTGGTTTGGCAAGAACTTGAGTTTCTATGAGTTGACCTGTGTCAGTCATTCTTGGCCTCTATAATGATCCTGTAAGGACCATTTGAAAAGTTCCTTGTGGCAGTACCAATACATCATGCTGCATGACAACTTCCTCTAGTACAAGGAGACAGGATTTTACTTAAGGTGGTATCTTTCATTTTCACTCAAAGCCTAATTTTATCCCCTAATGTCAATGGAATTATGTAAATTTATTTCTAGTAATTGTCCATTTTTACAGGTCCTTATGGCAAGCTTATCAATCCAGACTGTAGACTATTGGGAACCATCAAATTTCTGGATAGGTCCAAGAGCGGTGAGTTGCTCCTTATTATTCCTGGAAGAAAGTGTCATGGATGTCCAAGTCAAGGAAGAATGTTTGCAAATGGCTCTTTTTCCGTCTGAATATAATTGTGTGAGAGTTGAGATTATTTTACAACACTGGTAGACTTTGGTTTTTGTATGGAAATAATATCTTGTGTGTAGTTTCTTTGAAAAGTTTTAACAATGTTGAAACATTATTACTAGCTTGAGACTTTTCTTTTCATGTATTCTTTTTAGATTTAAAACCTTCAGTAAAGCAAATCATTGATGATAAATATAAGTGAATGTATCAACTGCCTGAAATAAGAGAAAGGTAGGTTTATGCCATGATTATTATTAAATACAGTATTTTATTAAAGGATATTGATAGTCTATCGTAAACATTGTGGTACAAGATGTGATCAGCAAATGTTAATAGTACTGTACTGTAAATTAATTGTACAGTACATGATTTAGTAGTCTCCGTGGTGTAGTGGTTAAGACACTCACCTGGCATTTTGCGAGCGCTATGTCCTGGGTTCGTATCCTGGCCGGGGAAGATTTTCTGGGCACAAATCCTTAAAAGGAGCCTCTGTTTAATCCAACAGTAAAATGGGTACCTGGTTGCTAAACGATTTGGCAGGGTCGTATTCTGAGGAATATAGGATTAAGGACTTGCCCGAAACGCTATGCGTGCTAGTGGCTGTACAAGAATGTAAGAACTCTTGTATATGTAAATAAATAAATGATAAAAGCAAAAGTTATAGAGCCGCATTAGAGAGACTCCGGTATAAGATGAGGTTGTTCTCAAGACTTTTGACTCTTGACATATTAATAATTCAGGAAGAAGATACTAGTTTAATTTAATCAATTGCATTTGATTAATGAAATGAAACCATACAGTAGTTTGAAGAATGGTTGGATGGACAAAAGCCAAATGGGATAAGATCTTTGGCGTGTAGAAGGTACTCGGTAGATAACTAAATAATTCATGTAGTCACTTGCTGGATGGATGTCGAGGGAGTAAAAACAATTTTAATTGTTTTTTTAATTTTGGTGAAGAGAAACAGTGTCAGTACTGTACTGTATTAGGTTTGATATGTGGAATGAGAATGTGATTGCAAGAAAAGTATTTCAGTGGAGGAGTTTACAAAAATGTGTAGTTGTGGTATATGAAAGATGATTTGTGTGGTCCATCTTAATTACTCAAGGGTGTTTGATAAAAAGACAATTGAATGGGCATTACTTAGTAATTAAGAAAAATATATTATATCTTTTAAATGGTTTGTTTCCTTCTTTACAGGCTGATCTTATACATTTAGGAGCCAAGTTTGCACCATGTATGAGAAAAGATGAAAAAATATTTCGCCATGTTGAAGAGCAACGGAGAGCAGAAAGAGAAACTGGCTGTTGCATTCGAAATGATGACTCGGGTTGTGTTCAGTCATCGCGGAGAGAATGTTCGGTAAGATGCGCATTACAAGTTGATTTTGCAACCTTTCCTTTGGATTAAGGAAAATGTTCAGATTTAAACATGTTGTGTATTAATATTAATTAGCATAATTAGCCCAGGAATATACACTACCAAAGTAATACTGAATGGTCTGCCTTTTCTCTTACAAATTTTGATTAATTTTATTAAGAATGATGAATGTGCAATCTCCACACCATTCTCTTCAGAATTGTACTTTATTACCACACTTTCTTATATTGCTTCTTTACTATTTTATATTTTTGCTCCTCTCTGTTGTCTTGTTTATATACCAGGTAATCCTTACCTGTCTGCTTGGACAGCACTCAGAGGTCGTAGTTCTAAGGGCCTGGGTTGGATTCCCAGACGAGGCAAAAACAAATGGGCAGAGTTTTTTTATCTGATGCACCTCTTCACCTAGCAGTAAATAGGTACCTGGGAGTTAGACAGCTGCTACAGGCTGCATCCTAGATGTGTGTGTGTGTGTTTGTGTACATGAGAGAGAACTATATATATATATAATAGATATGATAGAGGGAAATAGTCTTGGGAGTTGGTACATTAGACAATTGACAATTAGAAAGTCGGGGTCCAAGGGATAACGGCTCAATCCTGCAGGCACAAATAGTAATACATACATTTCTTCCTGAACTAAGGCCCTACCCTGTATCCCACTTTCATAGTGGAGAAGAATCAGTTTGGAAGAAATAAGAGAGCAAATAGAAAATAATATAGATACGGTACCCAAACAGACAATCCACCCATTGGCCACATCTTTTACACTAGATACTTTTGCATCATGAAAATCATCACTGTCACATTTCAACAATAGATTCACAACAAAACACCACAGCTTCATATAATCAGACATAAAGTGCTTCTCCTAAGTTGTTCTTTAAATAATCCATCATTCACTCCTAACAATCCAATTCCCTACTACCTCCTGCACTGCTCAGACTTAATAGCCTGCTTTCTTGTATCTGTCATGTCTCTCTCTCTCTCTCTCTCTCTCCATTTTTCACTTATACCCTTAAATTCACTTGAATAAACTTTTAACCACATTATTATCATCCATTTGTTTAATATGACCAAGCCATCTCAATGACATTGTAGATTTTGTGATTTACAAACTTTTGTTGTACTCGACATCTTTGTGACATTTTCATTTCCTATTCTATTCTAACACCACCACCACTGAACATCATGTAAGCCTTTATTTTTCCCTGCTCATGTTGCACAAGTATTGCATCCATCCATACATACATCAACACTCCTTCATGCAGTATTCTAGTTGCATGTCTTCCTTTCATTTTCATCTTGACCAGAATTCATTGCAACGCCGACTTTTCCCAACTTTGCTCTCAATGTTTAATGCAAAAATTGCTCCTTTTTTAATTAAAAAACCAAGTTTTGAATTGATCGATGAGGTGGACTTGCTGCCTTTCCTCACATTCCAACCTAGCCTCCAAAAAGAATAGTACCACTACACATACTAGTTACTGTGGTTGGACGGCACAAAATATAAACTATTGCACACAGTCCAAGTTTTGTACTATTGATTTTGTAGTGCCTGAAAAAGAAGGCAATAGCAAAACATAACCTCCCAAAGGCCTTAATATAGTATATATATTATAAATTAGGCCTAAGATGGTGTATGTAAGGCTTAGGATTGTTTATTTAAGCATAAGTTTAGGTTAGATTTATGATTAGGCCATTTTAATTTTTGTTATGCCTTTTAGAATTCCAATAGCACAAAAGACTTTTTTGTGCTAAACAAGCAATATTTTGTACAGTCTATTCATATTGGCTAAAGGTACTAACATTTTTGGAAGATGGTTGGCCATATTCACATTTCAGAGTGTCATTCTCCAACTTTTTATTTTTGTCCACATTCACTTTCAGTAGTCTTCTTTCACGTGCAATAACAAACACCTTTACTTATCTACATGAATCTCTTATTTTTTGCTATAAGAGCTGTATCATTTGCATAGATAAAGCTTAATAAACTCCATTTATTCCTATTATGCATTAATTTTACATCCTTTTCTAATATTGTTACTTTGACCTCCTTCATGACTCGATATATATTCATTGAACTGTTAAGGGGACATCACACAATGCTGGCATACTTCTACATTTGTATACAACCAATCACCAATTACTATATTAGCTTTCACATGTACACTGTATATTTCCTGCATAAAAAGATCTTCACATTATTAATAACATTTTAATCTCCATGCATGCTAAATACTCTCCAGGGACTCCCTCTATTCACACAGCTTGACCTATACTTTTTCCATGCTCATTAATGCCATAAATATGCTAGAATCTGTTACATGCTACTACTACTACTACTAGCTGTCTCAATGCAAATACATGATCAATGCAATTCACTGTGTAACCCACCTTATTCATCACTAGCTAAAGTTATACATATCACTAGAAGTTATTTTCTATACTCTTCCAGTCACTATTCTGCCATACACTTTGATCACTACACACAGACTAATGCCTCTGTTTCTTACACTCGCCTTTATTTTTGTATAACGTAAAATTATGGATCTTTTTCCAATCATCAGGCACAGTTCACTTCCCCGAACGTTCCAATATTAGGGGTTGTACCATCAAGTTTGTTAAGTAATCTTAAGGGTTTCTCTTGAAATTCTTCCTATCCTATCTTGTTTGCAGAGCTGTCAGTCTTGGAACCACCAACCTGTCCTTACACTTAAAAATAACTTATTTACACGGAAAGGTTTTTGTCGCTCTTCATTGACCCTAGTTCGTTATGTCAATTTGTTGGTATTATTTTTATGCTTGATGATAGTTGTCATGGTATGGGTTATCAAAAGTTTAGTGGATTAATCTTCTTTTATTCAATGATATTTGATAATTCCTATATTTATCTTGTCTACTACGTATTGCATTAATTTTAGAGGTTGAAGGGCTATAATTCTAAGGTCTTTTTCTCCTTTTCCACAGATAGCAAGGCACTATTTTGATGTAATAACTGTAGGCTACATTGTTGTATCCCACATGGTCTTGCACCTTTGCTATATAAAAATAATATTTGACAGTCATTGAGTAATTTGTAAATTTCATGCTGATCCTTTTGAATGGACATAATTATAAATATTTACATTCAATTTAATTCTTCTAAAAATCAAACAATAGTCACTTACATTCTGTGAAAGAGTTAACTAATTCCTTAGAACATTACTCAAATTGTCATGCTATTATTATGGAGAGTGTGAAACTTTCTATGCCTAGGAGTAGTTACACCTGAGAGCTATTTTAACAAAATATATGTATTGTGTGTGTTAATAGTCAATTTAACATTCCCATAACAATATGAAGATCATTTGATTTTGACCGATTACACCTCTTGAAACCCCTCCACCAACAAACTGCTTATACTGCATGCGTGAAGCTTCTCAAGTCTTTCAGGATGCACAGGGTTGAGGCTATCAATTTTATGATACCCCTTTAGCTTCTGGGGTGGGGTTTGGGAAACCAGTAACAGCTGACCTAGATAAATTTGACATAAAAGTTAACTGTATAAGATGTATGAAACTTGCATAGTATTCAGTTGTAGTATTGGACGGTATGTCTTGCATAGTAGCAGCTAGACTGTCATTGGAGTATGGATGGCTTTGAAAGCAGCCTAATTCAACTGCAAGACAAGTTGTGCTTTAAGAAAGTTTCTGCCATGATATAAACATTGGTTTTACTGAGAAAAGTGATTTTAAGTTAGAGAATGTTGAACCACTATATAGCTTAACATGATTTAAGAAAAGTTTTATTTCTGTCTATGTAGAAAGATATGTGCTGGCATTCACCCTGCCAGGACTAGTGCTGTTGGGGTTAGTTAACAACACAGTCTTTTTCCATATATCTTATACATGTGTTGCTATTTTGTTATTCAAAATACATTGATTTCAATGCTCAGATTTTAGACAACTGTGTAAGATTAGCATACACTTAAACATGGCATATGGGGTACTAAATGATGACTTAAGCCGGCTTCTGTTAGTGTTGCACTATCTACTGTGATTTATTCGTAACTATTGATTTGTACTGTGTGTAGGACTATGTTGTATGTTTACTGTTTCCCCTGAATAAATGTTTTATTATGGTTTGTATCATCATTTTTTTTTATGTTAAATAAAACAGGCCTTGAAGCCCTTGTTGCAAGTGTAATATTATACTGGACAAAAACTGTCAAGAAAGTGTTGTCAATGTATTGCTAGTTATTACGATGGTTACTAGTATTGCTCTTTTTGTGTTATTACTTTTTGAGTTAGGCCTGCTGCTGTGTGCAGTGTCTGATATAACTTTCTCTTGCCCAACTAACTTGCATTATCTCTCTCTAACTTTCCTCAAGCCTCTGGGTCAAGGAGATATGGAATCGGTAAGATTAATTTGTTTTTCTAAATTGAACTTTTTCAGGTATTGATAGCTGCCATTATTTACCTTGCACTTTGTGTATGATGTTGCCTGGCCTAGCTTGTAATGGTGTGTGTGTGTGTGTGTGTGTGTGTGTGTGTGTGTGTGTGTGTGTGTGTGTGTGTGTGTGTGTGTGTGTGTGTGTGTGTGTGTGTGTGTGTGTGTGTCTTGCTCGTTGCTCACAATTATTCACTACAATGTTAATCACTCGGATTTTTCATGTACTGTGTTATTATTTATTATGTTATACTTTTGTTATTTATTCACAGAACCTTTATTTAAAATCTGTTATTTTTATTAAGGTAGTTTTTAGAATTAAAATTTGACATTGATAATTTATATGGAATACTTCATTTTTGTTGTATGTCGTTGATTAAGGATGTTGGTGGGAATAATTTGTAAATGGTTTGCCTCTTTTTATTACATCTGTTCTACGACCCATTGTCACCCTTGCAGAATCAAATAATTGCATTTTGGCCATATCTTCCTTTTCATATCACAACACGGCCTATTTGTTGTATAATTTTTTTTTGGGGGGGGGGGGCTATGAAGTCATAATCAGTTTTATTGATTACAAGACGTTAGAAAGTATATTCATAATTATTTTAATTGGAAAAACTAATATTGTTGAGTTGTGATTCTTGGCAGTGAGAAATTCAAATTTCAAAAATAAAATTTTTACCTAAACATCATCTAGTATTATCAAAGTTAGTATTAATCATATTTTGATGAAATGTTCACAAAATGCTTAGCATAAGAAATGCTACAACTTGTAACCAGTTTTTCTAAATTCCAAGTAGTTAATATTTGACAGCTTTTTGAATTTTGCAAAATATTTCAAATTATTTATTCAAATGTCAAAATATTAATTTAAATTTATAAAGGATAATACCAATTTCCAATGTTCTTTAGTTAGGCTTTTTTTTTTTTTTTTTAATGGTTTCTTTTAAAGTTGAAGTTAGTGTTGATCTCTGTATTGGAAAGTGTACGATATATTAATTTTAAGAACTGAACGTGCTTGTTGTTAATATTTAATAATTTAATTTTGAAGCGGGTAATTTTATTTTCTTATGCTTTCATGAATTGATCAGAATATTTTTTTCTGTAGTAGAATAGCTGATATAGTTTTAAGTACAGAGGATTTCTGCTTGAATAGAACGATTTGTCCAGACTCCTTACATTGTCTCCAGTCATCCATTACATTCATATTTTTTTTTTTAATTTCCCCCAATCAAAATGTTTTAAATGCAAATAATAGAACACAATTACCTAAGTATAGTTACAGAATGAGAGCTACACTCGTGTTGTCCCATCTGCCCAGTACTCTCATATGACACTTTGAAACTACCGATGGTTTTGGCTTCCACTCTCTTTCACTTAACTTGTTCAAACCATCTACCACTCTGCAAATGAGAACTTTATAAAAAAAATTTCGGCATCTTTGTTTCCTTATCTTGAATGTGTGACCTTATGAATCTTGAAAAGTGAAGGTTTCAAGAATCACTTTTCAATTTCGTTGATTCCGGTTACATTTTATATGTAGTAATTATATTGCCTTTTTCTGTGGGGAGCCCCTACGGCTCCCTGGAGCTTATCGGGCTAATGTATGTTAGATTAGACCGGGACATTAGCTAAGGAGTTCAGACCTACCAGGGACCAGCGCCAGAACCTGGCCCCTTCAGAGAGGTTTCAGGGAGCAATGGCCCTGGAAAACCCCCTTGCGGTTGGGGTTAACCTTATCTGTGATCGACTGGGGTTAGGCACCCAGAAAGGTAGGCATAACAAAACAAACCCCACATGGTAAAAAACTAAAACAGAAAACCGAACAGAGAGGTAGAAACTCCCTATAATCCCAAGAGTACAGGCGGCATCCGTGTTGCAAGCTAGGTTAGGTTGCTGCAATTCGCTAGGTTGGTTTCCCACTTGGATGCCCTGGGGCCGCCCCGTTTTGGTTAGGTGCTGTTCGCCCCTTTCCCTCCCTGTTCCCGGCTCCTGACCGTCTGTGGGTTTCGGGGTTGGGGCGGGGTTTAGTTGGGGCCGAGACTCGGGCGACTTCGGGGGCTGCCCCGTTCAGGTTGGGGACGGAGGTTTTCGAGCCTGTTCCTCCTGCCAAGGCTTCTGGGTCTTGATTCTTGATAGGGAAGATTTCCTGAGACCTGGAACTTTAAGAACAAGACGTCATAGATTTAAACTAGCTAAACACAGATGCTGAAGAAATATAAGAAAATTCACTTTCGCAAACAGAGTGGTAGACAGTTGGAACAAGTTAGGTGAGAAGGTGGTGGAGGCCAAGACCGTCAGTAGTTTCAAAGCGTTATATGACAAAGAGTGCTGGGAAGACGGGACACCACGAGCGTAGCTCTCATCCTGTAACTACACTTAGGTAATTACATGCACTCCTAATCCCCTACACACTTACAGACACACTGACAGGGATAGATCTGAGGTTCCCGGGTCAACCTGGGCATCCTGTTCGTCTCGCACACAACACACAATGTGTGTAGCCAAAGTATCCCAGGTGTGGAAGCATCCTCCATGGCCTCACAGTCCAGAGGTTGAACCCAATCAGCATTTCATTTTCTAGTACAGTACTGGGAAAACAGGACACCTTGAGCAAAGCTCTCATCCTGTAACTATGCTTTCGTAATTACCTAATTACTTAGGAGTGCCCCATCCCTTACACAATTATTAAACCTAAGGGCCCCCCTCCACTAAGCACTCCTATTTCCCAGAACATATTTCCACTTGCCAATAAACACACATGGCCCCACCCTACTTGGCAAATGGAATTTAATATAAATATATGTCATGTTTTGGAATGTACAATAGGAAAATATAGATCCCACACATCCTATAAATTATGTGAGGAATCTTTAAAGAATTCTGATAAAGAATGAGATCTAGGGGTGGTTCTAGACAAAAAAAAACTGTCACCTGAGGACCACATTAAGAACATTGTGCGTGGAGCCTATGCTACACTTTCTAACTTCAGAATTGCTTTTAAATACATGGATGGAGAAATACTAAAGAAATTGTTTACAACTTTTGTTAGACCAAAGCTGGAATATGCAGCGGTTGTATGGTGCCCCATATCTTAAGAGGCACATCAACAAACTGGAAAAGGTGCAAATACATGCCACTAAATGGCACCCAGAACTGAAGGACAAGAGCTACGAGGAGAGGTTGGAGGCATTAAATATGCCAAACTAGACGATTGAAGAAAAAGAGGCGATATTATCACTATGTACAAAATAATAACAGGAATCGATAAAATTGATAGGGAAGAATTCGTGAGACATGGAACTTCAAGAGCAAGAGGTCATAGATTTAAACTAACGAAACAAAGCTGCCGGAGAAATATAAGAAAATTAACTTTTGTAAACAAAGTGGTAGATGGTTGGAACAAGTTAGGTGAGAAGGTGGTGGAGGCCAAAATCATCAGTAGTTTCAAAGTGTAATATGACAGTGCTGGGAGGACGGGACACCACGAGCGTAGTTCTCATCCTGTAACTACACTTAGGTAATTACACTACCAGGGCACACATGGCCCCACACATAACTGGAGCGCACACACAGCTTCATGCATGACACCCCCCCCCCCACTCTACCAAGGCACATGCATGACCCCCACACACTACCGGGACACACACAAGGCCCCACACATGACCGGAGCACACGCAAGGCCCCACACAGGAAAGAGATGGTTGGGTTGACTGCATCTATCTGGACCTAAAAAAGGTTTTTGACAGAGTTCCCCATAAGAGGTTCTGGAAAATGGAAAAACATATTGGAGGGATGATAGAAATAACCTTTTCAGAGTAGTAAAAAGATGGAATGCATTAGTCAGTGCTGTAGTGAAGGCTGACTCCATACACAATTTCAAATTTAGATAGAGCTCAAGAAGCGCAAGAACCTGTACACCAGTAGGTTGACAGTTGAGAGACGGGACCAAAGAGCTGCAGCTCAAGCACAACTAGGTGAGTACACTTAACACATGTGCACACACCCACCTTTTTCCCGACACATAGGAGTTGTAGTTTTAGTGACGAATTTGTACCAGCCAGTCTTGTTCATAATGACCTCTTACACCACTGATTCAGCTAACACTCTTATGTCCAGGAGCAAATTCCCAGCATTGTAAGAGGTATTTGTGTATGCAAAAAAATGATTGAGTGCAATATTTTGTTTCACTGAACATCTGAGTATATACTTTCATTTATGAATTTAACTTTCTAGACGAGACTGTCTGTCTGGAAAAAGTGGAGCGAGCTGGCGAAGGGTCCAGATGGCCGCCTTTCTGGATCTGTTTGTGGCCAAGATCCAAAGTAAGAATATTTTCTTGTTGAAATCTTTTTTTTTTTTTTTTCTGTTTAATTAGTTTAAATCATTATATTTTATAATTTACATAATGTTATATGCGTATAGTACATTAAAATGGGTAAAATCAAGCAAAAGTTGTGTAGTGTTTTCCCATACTGTATTTTTCTTTTTTAATGTGTTGGCATGTATTATTTCTTAGATACAGTATTTGTAGGTTCTAGCATTTAATCATTATTTTATTCTCTATAGCAAAAAGTATTTAAATAAATTTTAACCCTTACACTGCTACAGCCTGGGCTGTAAATGGGAGTATAAGCTGGGGCTAGGCGAAAATATATTTGAATTATGTGAAAATTAATTGTTAAACAAATCTCCAACTTATTGGCTTCAGCGTCATGAAAGTTTCATTCCAATATTTTCAGAAATTGATTTTAGACAATTTTTTTTTTTAAAGAACGTTTTGTTGATAAGGAGAACAGCTCCTATTAACTAGAACTGAGGGAAAATGCAGTAATAAAGAGATACAAGCACCTGTCCGAAGTACAAAGAAAAAGAATAGTAGTAAGAAGTGCCCATAAAGTGGGTATGCAGCTGGTGACTTTATAGCATTGCTGAGTAATACATAGTAACACAAATAATAATGAGTATGTATGTTATTATGCTCTATTTTTTTATATATCATATAAATACATTGCCCCAATGTTAATATCAGTTACTTTCAACAATGTCCAAATTTTTTTTATTTTCTTTTCATTTTTTTAAGTTTTTTCCTCCTTTGTTTAATATCTGATATTGTTGTAACCTCTACATCCTGGAGAATGCATACCTCTCCTTTCTGGACAGGTATGTGAAAATAGAATTAAATTGGTCAACAAATAAATCAGTCATAACTGGCAGAACTTGGGACTTTGATTTTTATTTGGATGATTTTTTCACAGATTTCAAATTCTATTTTCCTTGTTTCTTTAGATTGTTTTGACGATTAGAGACCAGACTTTTGACTTTTATAAAGTATACCCTAAATATATCCCTTAAATAGTTAAAATTATTATAATTATCCCTATAATTTGTTTTTTTTTTTGGGGGGGGGGGTATTTTTTCTTGACTTCATTTCAACACACATTGACCTACAGCTTTCACATATTCGAGTATGAATGCCAAACAATGTTTATTAAAACATACAAGTAAATTAATGAATTAGAACTACCTTATACATTGTTGATAACTTCAACTTCAATTATCTCTAAATCTAGAGTTCAACATTGAGTCAGCTTCAAAAAATCCAGTTTCTGACTGATTCTCACCATTTTTACATATAGTGTGCGCCGGTGTCTGTTCTACAATCCTATTAGAATGGATTTTTCATACTCTTTAAAAATTTGAGTTATAAATTTTGTTATCTGAATTTGGTACATATTTTAAATGTCATATTGAAGATTTTTTTTACAGTTAACTAAACTGAAAATGTATATTCTAAAAATATTAAAATGAAGATCATATACTATTCGGAGAGCATAATAACACTTAATGAACAATTGGTGATATTTAATATTTCCGGAGGGAGCCCCGTTGGCTCCCCGGAGTTTTACCAGGCTGATATGCTAATGTCAGACTTTGGCATCAGTCATGTGTACAGAGTTCTAGGGCCTACCGGGGACCACGGCCAGAACCTGGCCCCCCTCAGAGAGGCAAGGGGAGCAATGGCCTATAGAAACCCCTGTGTGGTTGGAAGCATTCTAACGCATTCATTCTCGACCGGGTCAAGCATCCAGAAAGGTAAGCATTCCAAAACAAACCCCTATTCTGGTTAAAATTGCTACCAAAAGCCGAACTAGTGGATAGAACTCCCAACAGAAAACAAGCAAACTAGTATAACATCACACGTCACCGCACTGCACATGTTTCCAACCACACGGGGGTTTCTATAGGCCATTGCTCCCCTTGCCTCTCTGAGGGAGCCAGGTTCTGGCCGTGGTCCCCAGTAGGCCCTAGAACTCCATACACATGACTGATGCCAAAGTCTGATATTAGCATATCAGCCTGGAAAAGCTCCAGGGAGCCTCCGGGTCTCACCCAGAAAATGGCGTTTCATTACATTGAATGCTGGTTTTTTGCTGCTGATCTGAAAATCTGAAATTTTCAATATTAAATTTTGTATTTATTTGTAATTTTCATGTTTTTCAAGTTACATTGGTGATCATTTAAACAAAGTTGGAGAGTTTGCCTAGTAAATTATGCACAAAAAATTGGAAAACGTTAGAACAAGTTTGAAAAATTGAACTTACTGTACCATCGGGTCCAGTCATATATATACGCCATGTGCAGTTTAAGGGTTAATGAAAATATAAATAACATATCTATACCACAAATAGTAGCTTATATCTATAAGTATTTATTATTCATTTATTATTTATGTAACTATGTTTTGAGCCAGTTAACAGGGATATTTTATGTAGCTGTCTAGTTTATCTTATAAATTAATTATACAGTATAGAACAGCTAAAGCTGGTAATATTTACTTCTTTAGTAATTAAATATTTCTTGATAAATTGCAGTTACTGTAAAGAACCAGCGTCTGTTCCGCCACATGAGTGGCCAGATGATATTACTCGGTGGCCAATTTGCAGAAAAAGAATTGCAGCTGTTAAAAAGATCCATGCTGCAGAGCATATGGCTTGTGAGGTTATTGGTCACCCGTGCTGTATAGGCATTCATGGAGAGTGTCGCATTACGACGCGGGAGTACTGTAATTTTGTGCGCGGCTACTTCCATGAAGAGGCTACGCTTTGCTCTCAGGTAAAAATAAATTAATATCGGTTCGTGACCTTTTTTCTCCCCTAGAATTTTCCTCTATTTGAAGTGAACATAGCGTAAAGGCCTCTAGGAAACCCTGTCTTTAGATTCTGTACTAGCCTGCTTTGTTTCTAGTAAATCTTCATGGAAACTATTAAAGTAATCCTCTACTGTCTCTTCCATGTTGTTGGTTTTATATCTGTAATTTGAACCCCCTCCTCCCCTTGTACTCTTGTTTTGCATATACTTTACCTTTGCAGTTAAACTTTGATCACTCTATGTTTACTACCCTATTGAGTCCTTGTATGTAATGACACAGTCACATACCTGCTTTATACCTGCTTGATGGGGTTCTGAGAGTTCTTCTACTCCCCAGGCCTGGCCCGTTGGCCCGGCTTGACTTGTAAGAGCTTGGTCCAACAGGCTGTTGCTTGGAGCGGCCCACAGGCCCACATATCCAACACAGCCCGGTTGGTCTGGCACTATTTGAAGAAAACTATCTAGTTTTTTCTTGAAAGTGTCCACGTTGTGTCCGGCAATATTTCTTATACTCGTTGGGAGGATGTTGAACAACCGTGGACCTCTGAGGTTTATACAGTGTTCTCTGATTGTGCCTATGGCACCCCTGCTCTTCACTGGATCTATTCTACATTTTCTTCCATATCTTTCACTCCAGTATGTTGATATTTTACTGTGTAGATTTGGGACCTGGCCCTCCAGTATTTTCCACATGTGTATTATTTTATATCTCTCATCTCATATGTTTGACTTTTTGTAGTTTCCTCTATATTGAGTTTACAGCATCTGCTTATCTATTAGTGATTACAAAAAAGTGAGCTCTCTAGCTCTTTATATCTGGTGCTCTAATTATCCCTCTCAACATTAAAGTTTTTATCTTATTTATTTTTAAAGTTGTGGATGGAACTGGCTTCAACAACCTATTCCTTCAATACATTCCACTTGCTGACCATCCGTATAGGAAATGAGAACTTATTTGCATGAAAATAGAACTTACAATTCTTTGACTCGATTGCGTGTCCTGCTTCCACCAATGTCCCCTCGTCCTACCTCCATTTCAATTTATATAGGCATCCTTTATTGACTTTCTCTATTTTCCCTCAATATTTTAAATTTAGCTATATCCCCACCGTATCTTACTCTACTCTAAGGGAGTAGAGGGGTTGTGAGGGAGTGTTCTTTCAATTCTGGTACTAATCTAGTTACAAATCTCTAAATTTTGATATATTCAAATCTGCCAGAATAGGGGTTTGCTTTGGAAAGTTTACCTTTCTGGGTGCCTGACCCGATCGATGGCAAACATAGAATGCTTCCAACTACAAGGGGGTTTCTATAGGCCATTGCTCCTCGTGCCTCTTCTGAGGGGGGGGGGCAGGTTCTGGTTCGTGGTCCCCGGTAGGCCCACAGAACTCCATACACATGACTGATGCCAGAGTCTGACATTAGCATATCAGTCTGGAGTGCTCCGGGAGCCTCTGAGCCTCACTCACCCAGAAAATGGCGTTTCATTACATTCAACGCTGGTTTTTTATAATTTTTTTTGTTTAAATTTGCCAATTTGTCACAATCACAGTTAGGGTTACTAAATTGAGACAACTCTATTTTGCTCTTCCATTAAATTGTTATATCTCTTGTGGTCTCCCATTATATTCTTGCAAACCTAACAGTGCCATCTCATTTTCTTATAAACCTTTCAATACTGTTTTCTAGCCCCTTCCCTAGCCATTTGTATTTCAGATACCTACTCTCAAATAGACCTCTCCCTCCTTTCGTGATGCTGCCCTAGATGATTCCTGTGTTGCTACTATATATCTCTAGTTATTTTCCAAGGGGGCCACTGGTATGGGCTCTGATAAGATGCACCCAAGAAAACAATTGCGAGCACATAAACAATTAAAATGCATTTTATCTGAATTTAAAATTAAAGGAAATATAATTTATGGAATAAAGTTGGAGTAATTACATAGGAATCCCAGGTTCTTTTGCCTCATTAATTCTACACATTAGAGGTTCTATTGATAAAATGATGTTGGCATGGACATGATGCTCTGTGGAAGCAGAGTAACCCATTCTTATGATACATTTCATAGATTTTTCTCGTATCGAGAACATTACCATCTTGTGACGTTTTTGAGAACAATACGTTGCAACAATTTGTTGCAACGCGTACTTGAGCCATAATTTTAAATATGTAGTGTTATATCCAAGTATTGTTAAAGTAATGTCAGCAATAATATAACAACTTAGTAAAGGTTGATGATAATTTTAAGGTATATGTTTTAAAGGATTTATCACTTGCATGGTGTTGGTAATTTAGTTTTAATCATTTCATTATCTTTATTACTACAGGTTTCCTGCTTGAACAACGTGTGTGGTATGATACCATTTCACAACCCAGATGTTCCAGACCAGTTTTATAGATTGTGGACATCTTTATTTATTCATGCAGGGTAAGAGACTAATAACTATTTAAAGAGACATAATTTTTCTGAATATCCTGTATATACATTAGTTATTTACAAAAGCTTAAATAAGTGCACTTTCAATGAGTGAACATTTCTTTACATTCATGATGTAATGCTGTTATATTTTTGTAAAGTGTGTAAAGTCTAAGATTTATTTTACTTTCATATCTGCAGAGGTAGCCTATCATTTAGGCCAACATACATAAAGTTTACCCTCATATAGGAAAATGAGCTACCCCACAGAACTGAGTTTTAGAATTTCATTCCTTGGTGCCAGAAGTACTGAAAGATGCTGATAACCATTACTTTTCAGAATTCTTCACCTGGCCATCTCGGTAGTACTTCAATACCTCCTTATGCGAGATGTGGAAAAGTTGGCTGGCCCTGTGCGAATCGGAGTCATCTATATAGTTTCGGGCATCGCAGGCAACCTGGCCTCTGCAATTTTCGTCCCGTATCGGGCAGAAGTTGGTCCCTCTGGTTCTCAGTTTGGACTGCTGGCGTGTGTGTTTGTAGAGTTCATCAACTCTTGGCAGATGATGAGAAACCCCTGGAGGGTGCTGGCCAAATTGGTGGTCATGACATTGACTTTCTTCTTGGTGGGGCTCTTACCTTGGGTGGACAACTACGCCCACATATTTGGCTTCATCTTCGGGTTCCTGCTTTCTTATGCACTGCTACCGTTCGTGTCGTTTGGTCCATACGACAAGCGGAGGAAGGTGTTGCTCATCTGGGTGTGTCTGGTGGCCGTGGTGGTGATGCTCACAGCGCTTATAATACTCTTTTACGTCACGCCCATATATGAGTGTAAGATCTGCGAATACCTTAACTGCATCCCTTTAACACGGGACTTTTGTGCAGAGCAGAACATCAATTTCAACAAGAAGTTGGATATTATATGAGAGGCTGATGCTTGCTTGGGCAGCATCTGCTGTCAGTCAACGGTCACCGACGTGCCAACATTTCTAGTAATATAACCAGTGTAATTATTACCATATGTTATACAAGTGATCACTGCTGTTATGGTCATTTTCTAGTTTCATACTCGGGGAAATATGGGATATACCAACGCCTATTTTGGCCCACATGTTTTAAGGGCTAAACTAGCATCAGTCAGATGAACAAATTGGTATTAGCTTGTTATGAACAAGAATTACATATATGTTACATGTTAATGACAAAAGTAATTTTGTGCATTGTCTTTATGCCTTGTATATGCCTTTTATATGAAAAGAGAATATTGTAATTAAAGTTTACCTCAAGTGAATAGGTATGTGATTTATATAAAACTACTATATACTGTATAATCCTCTTAAAACTGATTTTAATGAGTATCTTGTACAGTATATTTCAATACACGGGCTAAATCTCGACTATTCAGTTCCTTTCTAAATCATACTAGCAATCATGAGATAACCAATCAAATTTCCAGATGCAGAGCAAGTGATAACTCAAACAAATTTGCCTTTCCCACATTCATGATTGCAGTATTAAACCTAAACTTCTTGATATTAAACTTTAAAATACATATATGGATATTTTGTTCACAACTGGCATTGATACCAGTTTGTTGATAGCCTATCTTGATGTGGCAATGCCTGTCACACCAGAACACAGAGAATAGTGAGGATAGATGGGCAGTTGTACTAAGGACAAAGGGCCACAATTCTGAAATACCACACGAGACATAGTAACGAGGAAAAGCCAGTGAGGGTGCTTGGCAAGTTTTTAATGACATGTAGATACTGAAAACACCGCTCAATTACCTGAGGACAAATCTCCAGTGGACTTCCATAGTTGCGGCCCAACAGACAAACTGGGGAGTGAAAGAGGCAACAAAAATCCTCTCATTCTATGTCTCAGATCTGTTGTTATATTTTATTATTTTTATTATTATTATTACGATTATTATCATTATGGTTATGATTGTATATGAAAAATAAAAAATGTAGGTTAGGATATCCACTGATTTTCTCCATAATTGAATCCCATATGCATAGTGTTTAAGATAATTGGACACCATATCTTTGTTTCCCATTTCTGTGGACCTTAACTGTGTGGGTAATTGTGAGTGGTGTGGTTCTCTCACTCTCCACTCCAGCAAATGTGATGAGGGAGGAATTACAGGGGTGCCATCAGTCACGTCTGCTTCCATTCACCACATCCAACTCTTCTATTCATCATTTGCTCATTTTAATAAACTCAGTGCATGGATAGAACTAAATATGATCACAGTTAACAGTGTGCAAAGGGTTTGTATCTTCATTTATTTGTTAGTATCATTGTACGTCTGTACATTGTGTGAGCACAATCCTCGGAGTTTTTTTTTTTTTAAGTTCCGCTATCGGCAGCTACTAGTTTGTTAAACAGTAACAGAACCATAAACATCTTCATGTATGTCATCATAGAGATGCATTAAATGTGGAAGGAATTATATTGCCTGTGGTAGCACTTCAATAATAAAATCAACTTATAAATTTATATAGAAATTTTTTGAATTGCTAGTTCAGAAAAATCTGAAACAAATCTACGCAATTATTTTCTGGTTCTTTTGTTGTGACAGTTTACATGAAGATACCTCTATATACAACAAAATTTTTGTGGAAGAATGGTTTTTGATATGAATGTGTTGCTGTATATCACACGCAGTACATTAAAAGCAGTTCATCAGTACATTTTATTCAGGGATATATTAAAAAAGTTCTAATGAACTTGAAGATCATGCCTAAATTAACATATATCAAAATGTGTAAAAATTAATGTAACGTGTAAAGCATTTTTTGCAGTCGAGTAATTGGGTGATACATGTATTACCACAGGTAGAGTAGCTGTATCATCTCTGTGAGATGTGTTGCCCCTGCTTTGGAATATCATCTGATAATCCATGGCAGAGGATAACTTAATAATTGACAGTAAAAAAATGAATGTGTCAAATATAATACATATTACTGAAATCATACTTCCAGTACCCATGCAGATATGTTTATCTCCTGTCAGTGTTTAGCTCTGTATCTGAAATCACAACACACACCCATCCAGTTTAATTAAACAATTCGTGACTGACAACCCCCTAGGAAAATGTAAGGTAATCCTGCAGAAAGGTTCTAGGAGTGAGCACAGTACTGTGGAGCCAGCTACAGTGTTGCTGGACAGCCCACAACTGTGTGCAATGTTCTCGGATGAGTCTGATAAGTGGATTGTGACTGTGTACGGTAATATCCTGTGGGCATAAAGACTGAACTGCTATGGAATCTTTTGAAGACAGTGTGAAATTTGATGCAGATGTTATGAAGTGTCTATTGCAGTTACTTATATGATGTCACTAAGAGCAAACTTTGAGCAAATGCCATAGGCATTCTGAAGTAGTTCTGTTCAGATTGCAGTGTTGTCTTCATAAAATTCTTGGTTAATGAGTCCAAACTGCACTTTCTACTTATCACTTGAAGTATGTGTTTTTTTTTCACTTAAGCATGCTACCAGTGGCATTTAACTTGCATATTGTTGGTAAATAATTCATGTAAAGCCCCCTCACAAGTATCATGGAGCTACATCATCACAAAAGTAATGAGTAGATTTCATATTGTCATACTTACATCATGTAATTTATTTCATCACTTCATTTAGAATACTTTGTATGAACAATCTGTTATTAGAATGGTCTCATGTGTGATAATTTCTAACTCATTTCATCATGTCAGTTCTTGATATTTGAATGGGGGGTCCAGAATATATAGTGTTGAAGATAACCTGGGAGGTGGACGTAAAGCTGTGCAACTACAAGAAAATATTACACAATTTGGTCAGCCCTGTATATTGGTGATGGTTAACTACATGTAGGGTGATAATGTACACACTTGTCATGAGGAGGTGCAGGGATAATATTAGTTCAATTTTATCATTTCTGAATATTCTTCCAGAGTACTTTGAAATTAAGCATTAGCTATATTATGTAAATTCTATTAACTACAAAAGGAAAACACTAACTAGACCAATTATAATGAACATCTTAAATCGATGCTTGAAAGATTATCAGACTAGTAGTAATAATAATTGCTAAAAATTAAATGTACTTGTTATTGTTCAAGGATTTATGTTATGATATATATTAGAACTTTTGGCCAGTAAACCCCCCTCAAGAGATTTGCCATGTAGTAAGAGGCTCCCATACAGTTCCCTGATGCTGATGGGGGTTGCCACAGTTCCCTCTCCTGGCAGTCTCCATGTTTGCAGATGTGTGAAGGAAACCAACGAAGGACTCCTGTTCAGGTCGTCGAACCACCCACAGGAGGGGCCGTGAGTATCATTTGGGATGTTATGCCCTTTTTCTGCACCAGCCAGCACTTGGTCCCTCTTGCTGCCCTTTTAGGGGATATCCTTTTGCTCTGAGGCCCAAATTTGGAAAAAAAACAGGATGCATATGGCACATGAATTCAGTTCTCAAACTCAGGTTAATGGGGCCGGCAACCAGGCCCCTGAGTTGGACTGATGGAAGATTGGGCTTTGTATCTCCACCTATGTTGATTCCAGACCCAGCTTCATCTTTGGTTCACCCTACTGATCCTCTTCATTTCCCTGTCACTTTCTTGGCAGGGATGACTCCCAAGTCCCCAGTGTTGACTACCTTGTCACCTGGAGTGACTCCATCTTTGGTTGTTACACTGATTCCACTCTCATAATCGAAGCATGCATTTACCTCGACAACTGCTACATACCATAATCTGTTTGGCCCTGCTACATGGCCTAAATATTTTGGTTTGTCACAATGACCTTACCCAGCCTGATGAGTTATACATACACACCTTGTTGACTCTCGATACACATGTTGCCCCTCCCTAATTGGTACACGTCATTGAAATCCCTTCTGAGGAGGCAGCTGAACACCTATTTGCCTTACTCTGCACTGGTGAGAACCCAGTTTAGGTCTCCCAAAAGTGTCCAATTATATGGACATTCATTTTCCCACTCCATATTATGACCGGGGACAGGGAACTTAAGGACTGCTATAAGGATATTAACACTTTAGCATCATGATGACATTCACACAGTCATTAAAACAGCACACGTAGTTCGGGAGATGATGTTAATATCATCATCAATTAATTTTGTCTTATTCTTATTAGTAAGTATAAACATTGTGAATGAAAGGGTTTAACATTGGGTTGTGTGCCCATGGTCAACACCTGGCCTACCTTGCAGTGTGCTGCGGGTGCCCCGCCGGGCCAGGCAGTGTTAAATACAGTATATCCTTGAGACCCAAGGTTCGCCTATCCTCCAGGTTGATACGTTCACTCAACCCCCCTTCCGGTCGTCACATCAATTCCTTAAGATCACTTGGTCAGGACTTCCTAACTTCTGTAATTATTGCTGGTGTCAGATGCTCCTTCAGGAAACCCTTTCTCCATGCCTCTGCAATAGGAGCTGGCAATATGGGCATAGAACCTCAAAGTGCAGTGGCGAGGTATTCTCTTGGCCCTTGTGTTATTCTAGGTCAGATTGTCCATCATCTCAAGACTCATTGCATCAACTGTGGTGATGCTAATCCTGCCTTTTCCTGCTCATCCATGTGCACTATAACTCTGAACAAGCCATCCTCAACTTGAAACATAGGGCTTGTACATCTTTTCTTGAGGCAAGATGACAGGTTTGACATCTTTCCATTTTTTTTCTAACATGATGCTTGTGCATTGTGTCGCATTCCTTTGCCCCCCACCCTACATTCCTTCTTCAGTCCCACAACCATTTCCAAATCATAAGCTCTTGACATCCCCACCCACCTCCCCTTCTCCGATCTGAGGCAGAAGGTATTCCTCAAGCTGACATTTCCACTCTTCTCAGTCTTCCCGTTTGCCATATTTGTGTCATTTCTCCTTTTCACTCTTCAAAGTCTGTGTGAGCTCTAGCTCTTGGCTCCTCTTTTTCCTCAGTCATCCCCTCAGTTTTTTGACCCTCCCTGACCTATGACCATCTGGGCTGATAGGAATCTTCCTCCCCAACCATCCTCATTTTGCCCACTATCACTCCTGCCTGAGGAAATGGCATGTATCATACAGTACAGTACATATACCTGTACCTTGAAATTACCACTCTTCTGTCTCTTGGAAATACAAACCTGGTTCCTCTCCCTCTCCTCTAATCTCCTGATGTTAAACACCTCTTAAGACTCATTACTAGAGCCTGTGCTCCTCTTAGGTAATTTTAAATATTAGCATACCCTCTGGGAGTGTTTTTCTTAGAAATATCCAAGGGCAGTTTTTAGAACCTTTAGTTATCTTTCCTCCATTCTCGTGAATGCTAGCAAGCCGACTCTTGTACACTCTCGCATTTCCACGTTTTCCTGTATTGATCTTTGCTTCTGCGCTTCCATTTATAAGACCTGTTGTGGAGACTCCTTTGATGACTTTCATGACTGACTACAGTATTTACCATTCTCATATCCCCTCTTTTTTTTTTCTCTCTCTCTTTCTTCCCTCCTCTTTCCCTCAATGATGGTTTGATAAGAGTGACTAATCTCTTCACCCTCCATGCTGCTCTTCCCAGCCTGTGTAATCCCTCAGCTCCCTCAGTTTCTCCTTTTCCATGGAACCTTATTAGATGCTCCCTTCACCTCTGTTTCTCGCTATGCCTCTCATGGCATACAGGAGTGTGTTCCTTGGTGGAATTTTGAGTGTGCTCGAGCTGTTAAGTGTGCAGTCTGGGAAAAGCACAGATGCTGACAAACACCTGAATCTTTTATTCTATTTTAGAAGGTGTGTGGGGTGGCTTGGAGGGCCATCTGTACAGCTAAACATGAAAATTGGAACCCATGTGTCCAGCATTACTATTCCACCCCTCTCCCTCTTGTTAGAAATAAAATCCGCGAGATTGCAGATAAATTTGTTCCAAACATAACAGCTATCCTTCATCTTTGTACTTCCATTGTGGCAGATCCGGTGTTCGTCACAAATGAACCAAGTTTGCAGTCTTTAGCTGGTAGCTCTGGTTCTCGTCTTTCTCCTTCTTTTCGTATTTGTAGGCTCCTTATTGAATCTCGCTCTTTGAACTTTCGCACTCACCCCCTACTCCCCTGTAACACGCTCTCTTTTTCTGAACTGCAGTCCATCTTGTTCCTCTGCAGTTCTATGGCAGTGTGCTTGGACACCATTTGCTATGAGGTGCTTTGTAATCTGTGCTCCTCTTTGTATTTGCTGAATAACTATAACCATATTTGGAAGACAACATCTATCCCAGTGAACTTGCTAGAGACTATTGTTCTTACCATTAAGGAAACCCAGTACTCATGGGACTTGCCCTAAGGATTTTCACTCCATTGCCTTGATGAGTTGCATCTACATACATTTTGAATGTATTGTTACTGTATGACTTTTTTGGTTCTTGGAACATCACTACTGCTTCTCCCTCTCAATTTGGCTTTTGCAAGTATCACAGTATGACATCTTAGTGGACTTTGTGGTTTACATTCATACTGCCTTGGGGTTCATCTTAGTCACCTCGTGTGTCTCACCTCACAGTTGAATGCTTAAAGGTCATTACCTTACTTAAAATCTTGACTCACTTTATAGGGAGCTGATACACACACACTTCTATTTGCACTTCTTTCTTGTTGTCTAAACTTAATTGTGGCTGCCCTGTCCTCTTCACGGACTCAGCTCGGGTGCTCGGGTGGCCCCCTACAACATCATCACTCCTGTTTATTCCATACTTTGACTACTGCCTCTCAGGAGGACACTGTTCCCTCTCATCACCTCCCTATTCCTGTAATGATGACTCATCTGCAAGATTCTCTTGGTTCACATTTGCAATCCCTCTCCTCGTGGTGTTCTTACCTTGCCCCATGGAGGGTTCTGCTGGCAAAATTTTTCTCTTCTATTCACCTACATGGTTCACCATGTAAGTGAAGAGGGCAGCTTATACCCCTCCTACCATTCTGAAACACCTTTTCTTTGAACATGTTACTTCTCACTCCATTGCTCTATTTACAGATAGGCCTAAATCTGTCAGTGGTTGGCTACTCCATTGTTTTTCCTGATCAAACTTATATGTGCCATCTATGCCCAGAAGCTAGCATCTTCATGGCAGAACTTGTGCAGTTTTGTGTATTCATTGTTGGCTGCTTTTTTTATATTAATGTTCCTTTGTCACTGTGGTTGATTCGTGCAGTATCTTCGTGGTTCACGAGTCTTTTTATCCCTTTGCATCCTGTGGTGGTCAAAATCCAATACTGTATATTTAGCAGATTTAATGCAGTCAAATTTTGCTGGGTTCTCAGCCATATTGGGTTTACCTCAAATAAATTTGCAGACACTGCCACAGAAGTCGTCGTCCCCCCCCCCATTTAGCCAAAAAGGGGACACTATACTTTATTTGAATTTCTACCGAGTCATTAATTCTGCAATCTGTAACCATTGGCAGATTGGCAGGGTCATTGGTCTGGCATTATAGGAAACAAACTGTACACTCTTAAAGGTGACCTATCCTCGTAATGGAGTAGGAAATGGCTCTGGCACCACATGCTTAACTCAAGGTACTTAATAGAGCACCACCCTGCTCTTTATTGTCTAAATTGCATTGTCTTTGTCATGAACGTTGTAGAATGTCCCAATTTTCAGGATGTTCATCTCTTGGTTTCCTAATTTCCCTCAGGGTCAGATGTCCTTTGATGGAATCCTTGGTGAATAGAATACCTTTGATATCACTCGCCTTGTGTCCTTTTGTTGTCGTTTTGGCATCCTGACTAAAATTTAGCACCTTTTGAATATCCCATGACACACACAGTGGTACATAGTCTTGCCAGCTTGACACCACCTTTTGATAACTGCTTTTGGTCATCAAGGTTTTAACAGAAAGATGCCAAGATCTTGAAGCTTAATTGCTTGGTTAAAGCTAATCTATCAATGTAATCTGGTATTCAAGAAATGCACCTAAAGAGATAATTTTCATGTTAGGTTTTATAATCTATACTATTACTACTACTACTAGCTGCAACTACTGTACTTTCAGCCCAACTGATGCATTTTATTATTACCACGTTATTATTTAAGAATATTAATATTACTACTAGTACATAAAAATATAAGAATTTTGGGGGCTCTTCCCTGCTACTATTACCACCATTACCACTTTTACAACACCTGCTACTAGCTCTGCAATTACCACTGTAACAATATTTGTTAGCAGTATACCACTGTGACAAAGCCTACCAGTAACAGCATCACTACAATTGACAAAACAGCCCATTCTCTTGATTTACCACAACATATAAAATACTGTAAGTACTAAAATTCACAAACCCAAGCAACCCACCTAACTTAACCAACATCCACGTAGAAAACGTGGATATTTGTGAGATGCCACTTTTCATAGTATGCCTCATTTGGCACTTTAGGGACAATGACATACAAAATGAGGTGCATTACTTGAGAGGATGGGTTGGACAACACCTGCCACTAGCACTACCATTACCACTGACAACACCTGCCACTAGCACTACCATTACCACTGACAACACCTGCCACTAGCACTACCATTACCACTGACAACACCTGCCACTAGCACTACCATTACCACTGACAACACCTGCCACTAGCACTACCATTACCACTGACAACACCTGCCACTAGCACTACCATTACCACTGACAACACCTGCCACTAGCACTACCATTACCACTGACAACACCTGCCACTAGCACTACCATTACCACTGACAACACCTGCCACTAGCACTACCATTACCACTGACAACACCTGCCACTAGCACTACCATTACCACTGACAACACCTGCCACTAGCACTACCATTACCACTGACAACACCTGCCACTAGCACTACCATTACTGCTGACAACACCTGCCACTAGCACTACCATTACTACTGAGAACACCTGCCACTAGCACTACCATTACCACTGACAACACCTGCCACTAACACTACCATTACTACTGACAACACCTGCCACTAGCACTACCATTACCACTGACAACACCTGCCACTAGCACTACCATTACCACTGACAACACCTGCCACTAGCACTACCATTACTACTGACAACACCTGCCACTAGCACCAACATTACCACTGTGACAACACCTGCCACTAGCACTACCATTACTACTGACAACACCTGCCACTAGCACTACCATTACTACTGACAACACCTGCCACTAGCACCAACATTTACCACTGTGACAACACCTGCCACTAGCACTACCATTACTACTGACAACACCTGCCACTAGCACCAACATTACCACTGTGACAACACCTGCCACTAGCACCAACATTTACCACTGTAACAACACCTGCCACTAGCACCAACATTTACCACTGTAACAACACCTGCCACTAGCACCAACATTTACCACTGTAACAACACCTGCCACTAGCACTACCATTACTACTGACAACACCTGCCACTAGCACCAACATTTACCACTGTGACAACACCTGCCACTAGCACTACCATTACTACTGACAACACCTGCCACTAGCACCAACATTTACCACTGTGACAACACCTGCCACTAGCACCAACATTTACCATTGTGACAACACCTGCCACTAGCACCAACATTTACCATTGTGACAACACCTGCCACTAGCACCAACATTTACCATTGTGACAACACCTGCCACTAGCACCAACATTTACCACTGTGACAACACCTGCCACTAGCACTACCATTACTACTGACAACACCTGCCACTAGCACCAACATTTACCACTGTGACAACACCTGCCACTAGCACCAACATTTACCACTGTGACAACACCTGCCACTGCTATAGTTTTGACCTTCCATAATTGGTACATTGATCAACTTGAGCAGCTGGAAGTATAGTGTACTTTAACTCTGTGGCATTATACTATTGTCCTCTGACCACCACCACCACCACCACTCTTAATACATGTTATCTTTGACTGGTGAAGATTAAACTTTCATCAGAATATGATTGGTACAGTTACTAATTTCCACGTGTGATGAATGTCCTACAGGTGCTACCTTGCTCTCAGTGTGGGAAAGAGTTTACATCATGTATAATAAATCTTTCATTGTATTTTGCACTATATTCAAGTACCGTACATTTATGGGTAATATATCAAATAATGTGAATTATGGCGCTTACAGTAATGTATTGATTTAGTTTGGTAATTTGTGTACCATGAGTATTTAATAGTTATGTAAAGAAAAAAAAGAAGTGATACACGAACTTTACATACAATGTAAAGTAGTAGTTTAACCATGCTCCTCTATTCTATGCTGGCCAAATGTTTACCTGTTATAGCATGTAAGAAAGGTGTGTGTTTGGCAGAAGAAATGTGAACACTCCCCTTGCTCAGTAGTTGACTTGTATCTCATCAAGTCGGCGCTCAGGCAAATTTAGGGAATCTTCCTTTCTGCTAAGCCTTTGAAATGTCCTTGACGATGTGTTTGTCCTATTTTATGTTAGCCAAGGCCGTGAAGCAACTTCCAAATTAACTGTGATTTGTAGGGCAGAACATCCTCTGATTTTGTGCTGCAATTTTCTTTGTTTTCCCCCTTTTAATTTCTTTAGTGGCTTGAGATTTGATGTGTTTAGTTTTTCATGTCTTGCATTGATAATGTATTATGTAATCCTATGAAATATTTTGACCACCAATGCTCATTAAATTATTAAACCAATTTCTAAGTGATAAGTCATTTATGAAGCACAGAAATAACACCATGCTAAGTTTGATCTGTGTACAGGCACATTTCTCCCTTGCAGCCCCTGGCCCTACTACCCCCACCTTCATACTTATTATCACCTTACATCCACATTCTTTTTATTATGCTATTTGGCATATCTTTCATCTCTTTTTGCACACAAATGCTATTTAGCATACTCCATTATTTTTGGTGTGTTTTCCCTTGTTAGCATGTGGGTAGTTCTCTCTCTCTCTCTCCCCCCCTCCCATTTATGTGGGAGTACTTGTCATCCACTTTCATACCTTGTTTTCTTAATTTTGAAATCAGATACAGTACTTAAATTTTTAATTCCAAATTCATCCACTTAAAAAAAAATTGTGAGGATTAAATAGAATTATAGAATGCAGAATGCTGTTGATCCTGCCAATAATGAAGGATCAAGTTGAGCAAAGGAAAGAATAATAAACTTCATACTTTTATATTGTATTCTCACTTTTTTTTTTTACTTGGATGTTTAAGTTTATGAATATTGAAGACTACACAATGTAAAAAGGAAAAAAAGTAAATATTCATAAACTATGGTTGATGATTTTTGCTGTAGTTTAATATTAGTTGAAAGGTTTCACCTATGATTCAAAGATGTTTTCCTAAGAGCATTATCCCCTGAAATTGACAAGAGTTCATTGCTGTATTTTTATTGCACCTAGCAATGTGTGTACACAAGTGCTGTTTACACAAGCATCCAAAATCGTTCATGCCATCTCCATTCTCTGAGTTATGAGCTGATGCTAATGTGTTTTACAATACAGTGTCCATTAAGACCAGAGAAGGCTAGGTACAGATCAGAATGCTGAGAATGGTTTTTGACAAATTGCTGGTAATATATCCCATTCTGTAAAGTTGTGTGTTTTAGCTTCAACCCCAATTGCCTTATTATAATTAGTGTAATGAATCATAACATGTTTACCCAATCTGTAAAATTCACTTACAAAGCAACAAGTTTAGGGAAGATAGAAGGAAATACAGATCTGCAATATTCTCATATCTGATCACAGTTACATATGTCAATATCTCATCACTATCACGTGTTACTATTTATTTTTTAAGTTTTGAGCTGTTTATTTAGTTTTTATCTTCTTTGGCAATTTAAAAATTGGTAGAGTTGCTTAATTTGAAAATATCTTGGACTATGAAATCAATATTATTTGGATATCATTCAGGACTTAAAAAAAATCAATAAATAAAAAAAATGGTATGTGAAAATTATTTCTACCATACAGTACAAGATGTCATCCTTATTTTTCCAAGTCATATAATCAATATTTGTATTATCTCAGTTATTATCTATTATGTATATAGCTCAGCATTTGTACCAAAACACTGATTTTCAGAGATAGGTGCTTTTAATTTATGTATGTATTAAATAAGCATGGAATGTTAAAGGCTCAAATTTATTTGTGGATAATCAAGTAATTAATCAATCTAATTAGCCACTGTAATGAATATGCTAGTAAGTTGAAATGAATTTAAATGGGGGATTAATTCCAAAGTCTCATCTAAAAACGGAATGTTACAATGCAAAGAAAAAAATCTTGCCGTGTATTTCTTCAGGCATGCAATTTAATTTTTTTTCTATCACTGTACTCTACTACTATCAGTGAAATCCTACAAGACTATGGCTTGTTATTGTGGATTTTTTTTTTTTAAGTTCTAGAAGAGCAGTAGCCTGAAGATATATTGGGAAAGTGGAAATATAAGGGTGCACAACCAAATTTCACAAACTATTCTTACTATTGTGTAAATAATTTTGTAACAATCAGACTGCTTTTTGGAGAGCCATCCAAATGAAAATTAAACACACACACATGTTGCTTAATATGCTTACTCTTCTAGTTGTATACAACTTGGAGAAATCATATCTTGGTTACTGCAGTTGTTTAATTCACAATACATTGTGTGTTCATTTAATTTTCTTTGAAATCTTGATTCTGTCACTATTTTGGAAGTGCTAAAGAACATGAAATGAGGCATGAAGTTCATTTTAAAAGAAATTTCCCTTATACAAAATTTATACATGGAAAATTTACGTTGCATTAAATCTTTAATAATGTTGTTGCATTTAAAATATTTGATCAAGTTTGGATCTCTTGGAAAACCACAAAATTAACAAACAACTCGAGTGTATATGAGCCATAACAATTTTGTTTGGTTTTCGTCCCTCTTTCCTGCCCTCCATTGAATGGAATAAATACAGCCTTTACTCAATGCAAGAGATTTATTGTGTACCCATGGAATATTTCCCATTATGTGTTTTATTGCGGTGAAGGGCTGCTCGTTCTAAATGCTTGTTCCATTATTTCCCTGTAGTAACACCCTAATTAAGATGACAACCATGAGTCTTTGTGTATTTTACCAAAGATCATCTCTATAGTAATGTAAAACTTTACAATTAAGACTTTTTCTTATTATCAAGTAGTGTATTTGTGATGGATTAACATGTAAAAAGTTACTCATTTGTGACCTATAGGCTAAAGAACTGAAGTTCTTGTTAGACAAAAGATAAATTGGGTGCTTTGCTTCTCTAGGCTGGGTGATGAACTTAAGTTTGGTGTGGTTCAATTGTAACTTCAAAACTAGGCTAACCAAATGCCCCCCAGAAATATAACACTCGTCTATCTATGAACTAACAGGAATCTTGAGAGTTTTAGCCTATGCATATTGTCTGATTGTACAGTTTGTGTGTGTATGGTATGATTGTGAGGCAGTTTTTTATGTTTTTGTATAAAAATACAATACCATACGTTTTGAGCACACTCACATGCTTTTTGTATTGAACCAATTACCAAAGAAAATAAAACTAAAAATGTATAGATGAAATACTGTAAAACTCCCCAACATAGATTTTTATGAAAATGGGGTGAAAAAACATTTGTGTACTAATAAAATGCTAAAAAACTATAAGCTTTACTTTACCTTGGTACTAAACTAAAAATATGCTTTACTATATTTAAAGCAATTTCCTTATAACAGAGACAGGTTCTGTACATAGAATTGTGGTTAGCATCTATGAACTAACACGCACATTGCAGTTTTGTCAATGAAAGTTCTTGAAAGAGTTTATATCATATATAATAAATCATTGTATTTTGCACTATATTCAAGTACTTGGGGTTAATCTTTGACACGCGTTTGTCTTGGTCGCCCCATATCTTTTGCCTCTGAGCTGAATGCTCTAAGGCCCTTGCCCTCAAGGTTTTGTCCCATACTTCTTGGGGGGTGGATAGGCGCACGCTCCTCTTTACATTCCTCTCTCGTCCTATCTAAACTCGATTATAGTTGCCCTGCTTACTTGTCTGCTTCTTCTGCTCTTCGCTGTCTTGATGCTTTGCACCATGCTGGGTTGCGCCTGAGCTCTGGTGCCTTTCGTTTGACTCCTGTCCTCAGCTTGTATGTTGACACTGGCTTCCTGTCTCTCCAGGACCGCCGTGATCGCTACCGTCTTCGCTATCTGGCGCGGTCCTTGCAACATCCTTCCTCTCGCCTCTGTCGTGCTTTGATTCTTACCCCTCCTGTAGCTCCTGTTCCTCTTCACTGCCTCCCTCTTTCTGTCCGGCTGTCTCGCTTACAGTATTCTCTTTCCGTTCTTATTTCTAATGTCTCCTCATATTGTTCCTTCCTTGCCCCCGTGGAGAGTCCCCCCTTCCAAAATTTTGTACTTCCCTGACCCGAATCACTAAAGCTTTTACCCCTCCTGCAGTTCTGAAACGCCTTTTCCTTACCTTACCTTGAGCACTTTTCTTCACACTCCCACTCTGTTTCCATCACATTTGACAGTACAATATGTAATTTATTTGCACTAGCTCTTTATCCAATAGTTGCAGATTGCATCATAAGTGGGTAAAAATCTCGCAAAATAATTAGTTTCTGGTAGACGACAGGCATAAATAACTACTTTAGTAGCAATATCCACTAGGTCATTAGAAGTTAAGTGAAATCGATATGACTGGGAACCTAGCCTCTTAAGGGATGATTAAAACGATTTTGTAATTGCTGTGCTCTGGTACATTTAATTAAAATACCTGGTACTGGAA